GCTGCCACTGCTGAGCAGTATCTTGCGGTGATGGGACGCCCCAACTGCTAACTTCTTGGTCTCACGCGTGTCCTCATCTTTGCGCCTGTCGCTGCTTGTCGCTCTCTGTGGCCTATGTACACAGGAGAAGCTCAAGGCCATCCACGCCATGATGTTTGAGAAGGCGAAGGTTGAGCGCGATGACCACGTCAAGCAGACCACCAAGTGCGTTTATCAACAGTGCGCGCGTGTAAAAACTGTGTGTGTTCATATGTCGGTTGCTTGCCTGTGGTCTTGCGCGCGTTTTGTGTTGGATGTCAGACGCGTTTTGGTGTGTGTGTGTATGTGCGTGTGTTGAGTATCCGTAGTCGCCTGTGCTGCCTGTGCTGCTTGTGCTTCCTGTCCTGTGTATTTGTGTGTCTTCTTCGTCGGCTTGCTGGTGCTGCACCTTGTTCTCTACTTTTTCCACCACCACCACCACTCCCTCATCTTTGACCTCGCCCGCATAATTCGCACACGCGCCATTTCACTCCGCTGCAGGTGGGAGGAAGTGGCCCCACTTTTGAACGAGAAGAACCTGCTTCTTGTTCCCTTCTGCGGCGACAAGACCTGTGAGGCCGCCGTCAAGAAGGACAGCGAGTCAAAGAACCCTCGTGAGTTGCGCAGCGCAGTCTTTGTGTCTCTCCCTCTTTCTCTCCCCCAATGTCTCGACACCACATTCACAGTCATCCTGAAGGTGCACTTCCTGCCCCCTCACATGGCGTGACTGATGCTCACGCACTCACGCACTCACGCACTCAATGACTAACTCACACACACACACACACACACACACACACACACACACACACTTGACTGCGTCATGCGTGTTGCTGGTTAAATTCACCGTGTTGTCTCAGATGACCCGACTGCCCCTGCCATGGGCGCCAAGAGCCTCTGCATCCCCTTTGACCAGCCCGCCATGCCTGAGGGCACCAAGGTGCGTCTGGTTGTGCATGTGTGTTTAGTGCATTGTTGTGGAGCATGGTCTGTTTGCAGGCGGCTGGCTTTTGTTTTGTCCTGTCAGCGAGTACTTTCCTCTTACTCACCACCGCCGTCCTGGCCTGTGCTTGTGGTGTTTACAGTGCATCCATCCTGCCTGCAGCTCCACCAACGTGCAGTGGACACTTGTCGGCCGCTCATACTAGGCTGCCTGCTCTCATTAACATGCTCCAGTCGTCGAGCACACGTCTGCAGCTGTTTGCGTGTGTGCGTTTGTTGTGGGCACACGTTGTTTTCACCCTTGCGCACTGTTTGTGATTTCCGTGTGTGTATGTGTAGTTGTTGCTTGAGCCAAGTTGTTGCTGTATTGAAATTCATGCCAAGCAAGCAAGCAAGCCAAAAGCTAAGCGGGCAGGGGAGTAAGCGGGAAGGGGAGTTAGTGTAGGGATGAGGTGTCATGAGGAACACATGCAGAACCAAGGAGACGTGCGCGCACAAGGAGGAAGGAAGAAGGACAATAACAGCAACCAAGGGACAAGGAACACGGAAGATAATCACAGAGGCAACCCTCGCTCATGCAGTGACAGCTGCAGACTGCACGTGCAATTCGGCGGAAGTGGATGTTTGGATGACGACAAGGCCGTCGAGCACCGTCTGGCCCGCGGTGAGCACAAGCGCAGTCATCTGTATTCTAAACTGCCCTTGCTCGTCCGCGGCGATCACGTACCGCTCCTGCGTGGTGGAGGTGGGTGTGATGGTTGTGGTGGGGTGGTGGAGAGGTTGGTGTTAGAGTGAAGATTGAAGGACCATGTTAGAAAGGACAGTCTTATCTGTCAAACGCGCATTCAGATAGAGACCAAAACACACACACACACACACACAAGCACACAAGCACACAAACAAACGTGCGAACCTTGCCAAGCCATCTTGCCCCCGATGAATTGCTGCTGTGGAACAATGTAAGCGCCAAGGAGCACATAAAGTGAATGCACGTACGGCGATCGTGTGAGACAAGAGCAACGTAAATTCATGTGTGTGTGTGTATGCGCACAAGGCTGGGGGCGGGGGAGAGTGTATGAGGTCGATGGTGGGAGCGAACGTACTTCTGTGACACTTGCACCACAAGTTCCTCACTGGGCGTGAACCCAGTGCCACACACGAAGGGGTGAACACAGCTGGTTTGCCTGTTGTTTTCTGCATCACTAGCGTCGGAGCTTGATGATTTGCGCACGTCAATGAAGGCTGTGGGCGAGCCCGCCGTGTTGCTGCCTAAAAGTCGAGAAAGGGTGTTTCGTACATCAGTGGCGTATGACAAAGCCATGACGATGCAGAACGCAACGTATGCGGTGCGTGTGTGCGCACGTGTGTGCATGTGTGTGTGTCTACCACATTCTCGCAATGATGCAACACACACACATACACACACACACCTCTGCCAAAAGCCAAGAATACTGACCGCTGGACAAGGATGCCATGGCAAGGCCAAGCTGCGTATTGCGCTCCCACAGCACATGAACACCGTCATCCGAAGAAAACGCAGGCAGTCGCCACTGTGCAGCACCAGCAGCACCAGTGCTGTTGGTGGGGACCTGTAGTGAAACGGCTGGCGGAAGTGCAGACGGCGCGCTGGTAGCGGGCACGCACGGCAAAAGGGCAACACGGGTGGCACCAGGCGTTGGTGGGAGGGCGTGGTCTGCAATGATGGTGCTCGTGTCCAGCATCCAGTGCGAGTTGCGCAATAAGCACTCGCACAGCTGCACATCCTTAGGCACCGGGGAGAAGACGAGGCGAAGCAGGGCGCGCGTTGCCGATGTTGGAATGATGGTGGCGGTGACGGCGGGACCCTCTGCTGCGCGCATGCGGCAGGAGAGCGTGACCATACGATAGGGAAGCTGCTGCGGTGGGTTCTGTCCACGGTAGCCAATGCACAGCGCAAACGCATCTGGCGCGTGCGGGGCCACTTGGAAGCGCGCGCGGAAACGCGTGGCATCGCCAGGGGAAAGTTGCACCACCGAGGAGAGGTCTACGCATTGGCCCTGTGCACAGCAGTCAGTCGGCGTGGCGCTTGTGTGTGAGCTGTCGAGAAGTAGAGGTGTGCAGACAAGAGCAGAGTCAACAGCACAGCAAGCAGAGTGGAATGTCAGCGTAAATTGCACCTCCGCTGGCAGTTGCGTGCCATCCTCAAGCTCAATGTGCGGTTTCCACGCATGTCTGCAGAGGGACAAGCCAAACCAGTGAGCAAGATGCAGGTACACCCGGGCAGGAGGCCTACTTCATACACAACACATACACCCGCATGCACACAACCGTGCACGAAAAGATAGAGGTGGACACCTGCAAGGCAAGTCAACGTTCAACAGGATACCCAAGGCTGCTGCGTCCATTCCGTGCACACACACACACACACACAAACAAACACACAAACAAACAAACACACACACACACACACACACATGACGTTGATGACACGCACTCTGGAAAGACGCAGACGACGTTGGCGGTTGGTGCTGTTCCCTGATTCTTGACATCCACCTCCACGGTCACAACCTGCCCACGCAACACCTCCGCAGGAAGAGGAGTGCTCTGCCACCAGGACCACGTTGAAACACAGTGGGCGTGCGTGTGAGTGTGAGTGTGAGTGTGAGTGTGAGTGTGAGTGTGAGTGTGAGTGTGAGTGTGAGTGTGAGTGTGAGCGTGGGTATGAGTGTGTGTTGTTGTCAAGGAAACCAATAAGGAGATATTCAGCCAAGTCCCACAACTACGACACCCCACAACATATGAACACGAACATGCGCACCTGGTAAGTGAAGAGGGGGCTTGCAGAGACAACTCGCAAGTCCAACCGCTTGTCTGGTGCATACACGCACGCTGGTGGCGACAGAAACAACGCGAAACGTGATGTAAGCCGTAACATGTGTTGGTGGGGGTTCGTTCATTGCCGTGCACAGTATCTCTCATGTGCCAGCAGTTGTTGTTGTTGTTGTTGTTGTTGTTGTTGTTGTTGTTGTTGTTGTTGTTGTTGTTGTTGTTGTTGTTGTTGTTGTGTACCTGTTCGCTCGGCGTGTGTTGAGTTCAAGCGTTTGCCGCGGACCAACAGCGGCTGCTGGCCAGCAATTTCCGATTGGCCAAGATGGATGTTGTACCTGTGGAGTGTGGAGCACAAATCAAGGACGACGTGGAACAGGCAAGAGGTCGGGGTTGTGCGTGGGCGAGGACCGAGTGCGGTTCTTGGCGGTATGGATGACCAGGGAAGCAAAATGGCACTCGAATAGCAACGCAAATTACAACACATAAACCGCCCCCCCCCCAACACACCATCACACACAGCAGTTGATGCCTCATTTGCATGGGCGAACCTGATGCCCTTGACGTGAAGTGTGCCCTGTGTGAGTGGCATGGCGGTGAGGACAACATCAACATCCTCGCCAGCGCCCATTTCAATCTCAACCATCTCCGTGAGCTCAAGCTGGTCCGGTTTGCACTCGTTGCCATCAGCATCGACCAGCGTGCACACGAGCTTGAGCTGCGCGCATTGGGGCAGGGCACGGTGATGTTGGGGGGGGGGGAGGGTTGGGTGGCGGTGAGCACGGCTGCGGCATTGTCCATGACAATCGACGGCACTCAACAAACGACTCAACGCGCAACGTAAATAGCAAAGCAAATGCATACGTAATGCAGCGTGTTAACCACACACACACACAAACAAACAAACAAACAAACAAACACATGAACACACACACACACACACAGACACACACAGACGCACACAGACAGACAGACAGACAGACACACACACACACAGACACACGGAGCACAGCAGGCGATTCACTCGTGTGGGCGTACGGCGGTGAGGCGGAGCGAAGTGGCCAGAGGATTCGTGAGCTGGAATTCAACACCAACGGGCTCTTCAACAACGACTGTCGCCGGCGAGGTGTTGGTCGTCTTGTCGCTCAGCACCGCGGCCTGATGAACCTGGCACACGCGGTGGTGTATGGGTGCACAACAGGGGTGGATGGCATCGCAAGATGTGTGCGTGTGTGCGTGTGTGTGTGAGTGCGTGTTAAAATGTGCGTGTCTGAAGGTGTGTCTGCAGGCATTCACGTGCGTGTGCGTGTTGTGACACTGTCTCATTTGGGCGCTATTGGAGGAAGCCGGGTTGGTACGAACCTGAGGCTTGTTCATAAACGCCGCAACCTTTTCCTCCTGTTGGGAGATGTGTGCTGCCTATCCAGGAGAAGTGACATGTTGCGTGTGGGTGACTCGTTTGCATGGAACTCTGGTCATGTACAACACGTATTTGCACACACACACACACACACACACACACACACACACACAAACGCACGCACGCACAACCATACACATACGCACGCACACGCGCGCACACGCACGCACGCACACACACACACACAGCCATACATGTACAAGTATGTTTCAAAAAGTACACACTTGTGTATTAGCCTGCAGCTGAAGGCGGACACGAATGTTCTTGTTGACGATTGGAACAGGAAGTGGAGGGGGCGCGGACGCGGCGTCCTCACTCTCCTGCAGGTGCCTACAGGAAGGCAAGCGGGAAGGCGTTGGCGAGTGGCAAGGAGGCGTTGGGCATGTTTGGAAGTGCAGCGAGAACGCGTGTTTGGGTCTGATCTGTTATGGGTTGTGCTGAGTGTTTGCTCTGCGCAGGTGCATGCACTGCACGCATTCATTCGCCCCCCCTCATCATCAAACGGGCAGCTCATAAACATGGGCGCAATCAATGGACGTGACAGCCACGACGTGTGAGCGGCATACCGGTAGAGGTGCATGAAAGTGCCGAGCACATCGCTGTGGGAGCGAGCACTGCCGGGACATTCGCGAAGCACATGCGCATATGCGTCAATGCTTTTCTGTAAAGGCGACAGCGACGTGTGTGGGAACGTAATTGTGTTGGCGTGAGGTTGTATGTAGTGAGCGGACGCGTGACTTTGCGTGCATATGTGAGTGGATGTTTTTCGGTGAACATTTGCAATGGCGTCAGGGCTGTTCATGCGAGGATGTGCAGTGAAGGTGAAAACAACGATGTAAACAGCAAATATCAGCAGGAAACGGCAGCGGCTCGCGCAACAAATAACGGCTACGCACATGGAGGAGGCCCAGTTGTTCGCATTGTCTGGCCAGCGACTGGTGGATGTGATCCTCAATGTGCTGCCACCCAAGACCCGAAAACAACTTTTCAGCCTAACACGCCACACCACAGCACACCACAGCACACACAACACAGCACATCACATGCGGGAGGCGTCAGAGGTGAGCAAACACATGTCCGTGATCACACGGTGTCACTCCGCCGAGTCAACCCGCCCCCCCCCTTCTGTGCGCGTTAAACCCTTCACTGCACAGTACAACCGTACCTGTACGTAGCATCTGCGGGCGTGCATGCGCTGGTGCGCCTTGATGAAGCGAAAAGCGGCAAGGACGAGGTGGAATGCGGCCTTGCGGCGCGATGACGGCGATGCAAAGTAGCACGTCGCAGCCTGGTCCATGCAACGGACACACGTGTGCATGTGTATGTGCATGTGCATGTGCATGTGCATGCATACGTGTGAAAAACAAATACCCGAAGTAGGTGCACGTTGATCCGCAACGCCTTGCATGCATAGTGCGTGTGTGCGTGTGTGCGTGTACGCATGCGTGTGTGGTGGGAAACGCAGATGGAGGGCGAGTGGGGATGACCTGTTCGAGGAAAATGGCACTGCGCAGATCAGACTCCTCCGAGACAACGCGCACAAACGTGGCCGCCTACACAATGCACACACACACACACACACACACAAATGCGCACGCATGAACGACAGATGGTGAGGTTGGCACGTGGATTCACACACCATGATGACACAAGAATGTGCAAGACAATGAGGGATGGACAGGGTGAGCACACCCACGTGACGAGGAGACAGACGCCCACTCAATATACAAAGCACCACCACCGCCACCACCACTACCACGACCGTCCGCACGACCACTGTGCAGGAGGATGAGCCACATCAGCTCACCGCGTCCGCATGTTGGGTGCGGGCAGTGAAATCTGCAGCAGCGGTGATGGCAACGCGCGCGGTGTGGAAAGGCATGCCAGACTTGTTATACGTGGCCATTGCGCTCTCAAACAGCTGCCGGCTCTCGTATCTGCCCTGGTCCAGACGCGGATCAAGCAGCATGCACGCAGCAAGCATTTCCTGGGCAACGGTCAGGTGGCGATGGTGGCCGGGGGGGGGGCAGAGGACGGCGAACGAAAGGTGTGGGTTCGTGTGCGTGTGAGGGGGTGAGAATGTGGATTGTGACGACGGGGTGGTGAAGGAGGTAGTGATGAGCAACAGGAAGGGGAGGAGGAGGAGAAGCAAAAGCTTCACGCATGTGGCTGCAGATATTGGCGGGGCGTACGTTGGCGCCGGCGAGATGCTTCCACGAGCGGTCGTTGTTGAAGTCCTTGCGTAGGTGGCGGTAGTGCTGGTACGCGTCGTCGTATTCCTGCAAAAGCAATACAGACAACAGCACGCACGCATGCATGCACGTACGCTTGTGAGCAAGTTGGAGGAGGAGGGCGCGGGGACAGGCCACGGGTCCGTCATGCCTGGCGCAAGGGTGTTGCGGGTCGTGGGCTGGCACCTTGATCATAAAGAGCAAGTCAGCAAGGCGGCGTGTCTGCATCTCAAACGAATCTGGGGCATAGGGATCCTGGCCAGTGCCAGACTGGGCCGATTTTCCGCTCGAAAACCACTTCCGAGTGGCGTTTAGAAACGTTGATCGACTCTTGCGCGTGGCGGTGACCTGGACACCATACGACAGCGAGAAAATATAAGACCCTTGCCATTCGATTTGAGGAAGAAGACAAAGAGACTGACAAACGCACGCATCAGCATAAGCACGCAGGTACGGACAGGCATATCGACAGACAGACAGACAGACAGACAGACAGACAGACAGACACGCACACACGTGCACAGACAGACAGACAGACAGACAGACAGATGTACACGTGGACACAACGACGGGTGGTGCAGACAGAGACGGATAGGGAGCACGTGCAGTCGGGACCTCGGCGGAGAGGAGCTGCGCATGGTGGCGAACGGCCGGCACGAGCGCCGTGTCGACAATTGCTGCACATGTGTCCTTGAGCTTCTGCACATCCGCGATGCAAAACCCGGCTGCAAGCCCGACTCGCTCAGGATCCTGTGTGTGTGTGAGTGTGTGTGTACGTGTGGCGTGTGTGTGTGTGGCGTGTGTGTGGTGAATGTGTGGAAGGAGAGAAGCGGCAGAGTCATCCAACAGCGCACGTTGTGCATGAGATGGTGTGACATTACACAAGTGGTGGCTCTCAGCGTCGTGTTTCGCACAGCCGCACAATAAAAGGCTGCGCCAGCTTGCCACGTAGCTGCACAAGGCCCCCCCCCCCCCCCCCAAAAAAAAAAAAAACGAAAAACGAAAGAAACTTCACATTTGCGTACCGCGTTTGCCATTGACGCCATGGCGGAGAGGGGGTCGGCATCAACGGGCGGCGCTGTCGGCTCTGGCGTTTTGGGGAAAAGTGCACACACAGGAACAAGAAAGGCAGGGGTTGGTATTTGTTTACGTGTGTAAACATGTACATGTGTGTGTGTGTGAGCACGTGCGTGTATGTGCATGTGTTGATTGGATTCTTGTGTGTGCGTGTGACACGCTGGCACGATGATTGGGCACCTTCTGTTGTGCTCTGTGGGCGGGATTGGGCGGCGGAGGCGAGCGCCGGCAGTGCAGTCGTCCACACGTCCGACACATCCTGTTCCTCGTCGCCATCTGCTGCTGATGGTGGTGATGGTGGTGATGGTGGTGGTGTGTATGTGCATGAGCGTGTGGGGTGTGTATGAGCGAGTGGGGTATTGGCGGAATTCGAGGGGACGCGCGTCGCGCGGATGGTGTGACATGGGGACATGAATTTGTTGAAGCCACAATTTGCAAGTAAGGGCACAGGTGCACAGAGCGTTTGTGCGTGCGTGTGTGTTTGATTGTGTGTGTGTGTGTGTGTGTGTGTGTGTGTGTGTGTGTGTGTGTGTGTGTGTGTGTGTGTGTGTGTGTGTTCGCGCAAGTGTTGCATTTGCTCAAGTACCAACCTTGCTGTAGCGGGACATGAAAACAGTTCTTGGAGCCGAAATCATTGGATAGCCTCTGTGACCGTACACGCGTGTACAGGTGGGAAGTGTCATGTGACAATGGTAAGCCGAAAAGTGACGCAGACGCTAATGCATGCAAACACCACAAACAAACAAAACAAACAAAGAACTGAGACAATCATGGACACAGCATGTGCAGAAGAAATGGACAGACAAAGACACGTGTCACATGGTGTCAGACCTGCAAGAAGGCGGTCACAGTTGCATCGTCGTCATGATGGTCAGAGAGGAGGAGATAACACGTGGGAATGTCCTGGGAAACATACGGAAACGCAGAAAAGGCATCCCGTTGCTTCTGCAGAGTGGTGGTAGTGAAGATTGGACCAGCAGTGGGGCGACACGGAGCACACAGGCAAGACAAGTGAGTGTGCGTTGTGTTTGTTGTTGTTGTTGTTTGAGGGCGTATGTGCATTTGAAGGCAGGGTCAGCAGTGATTGAATCGACAGATGAGACACAGGCAGTGCACATATCAGCATTGATTCCGACATGAACACACAGGCCACACAGACACACGCACTCAGGCACACACTCAGACGCAGACACACGAAAACACAGGCATACGACCGCATGCACCACGTCGGCACACTTCCTTTCTCACACACGCATCATCATCACATCAGCACACATCACACAGACGGACGGACCTGGGAGGAGAGGGAGGAGGCGATGGATGTGATGGGGTCGTCGCCCTTGGCAGTGCAGAGGACGATGCGGAGGAGCGGATGGCCAAAGAACTCGTGGTCACACGGGCGCATGAGGGAGAAGAAGTGGTGGCAGTAGTCGTTGAACCACGGCGCAACGCCTGTGACGTGTATGGTGTATGTGTGCAGGTCGGCAAGGGTGGCATGACACCAGCGGAACACGAGTGTGAGCAATGCGCAAAGCACTTGTTGGCAAGCATGAAAGCAGTGGCTTTTGGGGGAAGAAGGCAGTGCATACCCAGTCCGCACAAATCACCACTTCAAGTTTGCATACATTCCCGCAACCACCTTGAGTACACACACCCATACACGCACACGCACCCACCCCCACACACCTGATCCAATGTTCCAGTCTTCACACAGGCCTTCATGTTGAGTAACCGCTGCTTTCGTCTGGGCGATGCCGTCCTCCACAACTAGGGGGCGAAGGTCATCCTAGAACACGAATGGGGGTTCCACAACAACGCGACCGTGTTGAGAAAGGTACAAGCACACGCAGACGAAAACAGTGGTACGAGGAGCACGAACGCACAACCGCGAAGAACAACTACATCAGCTGTCGTGCTCTGTTCTGATGTCAAAGTACGAGTTTGATCAACCTCACCAGGGTGCGAAATTGAACATCAGGAGCCTGGCTGCGTGATCGACCTGCAACATGGCATGGAATGAAGCACAGACGCACACAAGAAGGGTTTGGGTTGCGGGAGAGAGTGTAGAGGTGGCAAGGTGTTGGGGTACGAGCATGAAAGAGAGAGAGAAAAAAAAAAGCATGGTTCCGGTTGTAAAAACGGGCAAGCATTCATGCAAGCACTCATTCAAGCATGCCTTCATCAGTCACGCTGAAGCTGGGGACAGACAGAGAGCGCACAAAGTGAGGGGAAAAGCACAGGGCTAAACTGACCAAAGGGAGCCAAAAGATGCTTGCACGAGAGCCCACGTTGCATGCATGTTGCCTCTGCTTCTTTTGTCCAGAGCACAAGGACATTTGGTGCAAACAGCGACTGCACCAGCTCCTTGGTCGGCGCCATGGTGATGTTGATGGTGCTGCGACTTGCTGTTCCTGCCCGTTTGTGCTCTTGCTTGCTGCTGTTTGGCCAGCGAAGTTCGGAAATGTTGTTGATAACATTCACCAATTGTCGTTTGACTGTGACTGCAGCACTCACAAACCACCGCAGCAGATACACTCACGCACCCACCAAACACACAGAACAAGCAAGATGACGGCACACAAGCAAGCTGTTTTGCGGCTCTACAGACATATGCTGAAGGACAGCAAGTCTTGGGCTGTTGATCGTGGTGTTTGGATGAAGCACGCGGCAACCATTCGCCAACGTTTTGAGACGCACCGCACCGCAAACCCTGCTGAGGCGGCAAAGCTCCTGGCAGCAGAGCAGGTGTGTGTGTGTGTGTGTGTGTGTGTGTGTGTGTGTGTGTGTGTGTGTGTGTGTGTGTGTTACATGCATGCACCCGCAAGTGCGGCGATGTGTGTGTGTGTGTGTGTGTGTGCACCCGGAAGTGCGTCGATGTGTGTGTGTGCGCGCTAAGTGTACACATCAAGCTGCTTGTCGGAAGAATGCCTGTTTGCTCGCTGCTCTCTATCCTGTGAAGCGTCATCGTACCCTCAAACCCCACCGCTGCAGTGTCACACTTTGTTTGCTACCATTCCTCTGGTTTGTTTCTCACTGTGTTCATCCATCCATTGTCTCCTTTCCAACACATACAGGCCAAGTTTGAGAGTAACAAACACCCCGACCCATACCGACGTAAGCTTTTGTATTTGTCATGGTTTTCCGAGCCTTCACGTGTATGTGTGTGTTTGTGCGTGCGTATGTGTGTTTGTGCGTGCGTGCGTATGTGTGTGTTTGTGTGTGTGTTTGTGTGTGTGTTTGTGCGTGCGTGCGTATGTGTGTGTTTGTGTGTGTGTTTGTGTGTGTGTGTTTGTGCATGTGTTTGTGCGTATGTTTGTGCGTGTGTTTGTGCGTGCTTGCGTGTTTGTTGCCGCTGTGTGCCATCTCCCAGTCCTAAACTGAGCCGAACATTCTGCAACGCTTCAAAACAACCCGTTGACCGTTTCTAATCCACACGCGCACTTTGTAATGATTGCCCGTGCTCAAATAGCATGCACATCGCTGGATGGGTCCAAGTGGGAGCGTAACTGTCCGCCACCAGCAGACGTAGGTCGTGTGTGTCTGTGCGTACAAGTGTGTGTCTGTGTGTGTGTCTGTAGATGTACAATCGTGTGTGTGTCTGTGTGTGTACAAGTGTGTGTGTGTGTGTGTTTGTCCGCGTGTCTTTCTATTTGTGAATCCATTACGTGTTGTTGTCATGAGGCATGGCACAACGACTGTTGTGGTTGTTTCGGCGTGCTCGCCATGTACAATACTCACTGACAGCCACATCCTCGTACATGCACCCCCTCCCGCCTCATTCATTGTTCGGCAACACCCTGTGTTACAGGTTGTTCAAGCTGGCTCCATGTAACCATTCTGCAATTGACACGTCATCTCCGCCCCCAGCCCCAGAGGGCAAAACCCACAAAGCCAAGCAGCAGACGTAACAAAACACCAACATCACGTGTTTCTTGTCTCTTCAGTGTGTGTGTGTGCGTGTACGTTGGCGTGATGGGACAGCTTCCTTTGTCGTGGGAGGCCAAAGTCACTGTGGCATCTCGCGGCATGTTTCGAGTTGTGCACGTGCGATTTGATGCGAGTCTCGCTGCTTGGCGTTTTTATCGTTTGTTCATCGGCAAAGTGCAATACATCGCTTGAAATGGTGGAGGGCGAGCAACCTTGCCATGAGAACATGGGAAAATGAAAAAACAAAAACAAAACAAAAACAAAACAAAAACCAACCGCACCCAACGCCACAACACACACACACACACACACACACACACACACACACACACACACACACACACACACACACACACACACACACACACACAAGCAATTGTTGCACGCCTGAGTTCTTGTCCTACGACTGGATAGGGGTCCCGAGAGCGGGGGTTGCTGCTGCTACGGCCGGCAATTGAGGGCGTGGACTGCCGTCTACTTCTTACTGACAAAGTGGTCAAGTCTGACAGAGAAGCTGACATACGGGAAATACTCGCCCTGGAACAAGCCCGGCACATCAGCGACCTGGAGCACACACACACACACACACACACACACACACACACACACACACACACACACACACACACACACGCACACACGCACACACACACGTGCACAGGGCACAACAAACATACCAGTGAGGCGACACAGGTGCTCGCACAAATTTGTGTCAAACAAAATATAGCCAGCATTCACAGGCATCGAAAACACCACACCAGAATCACGAACAAGTAAACACGAAACGCAAACGCGCGTAAGTGCAACCAAGTTCAGCCACAGATGGTGTGTGTGTGTGTGTGTGTGTGTGTGTGTGCTCACCTCGCCGGCCTCTGCGCCGGCCTTATCGAGATGCCCGTAGAGCCGCTGCAGCGCCGTCCGCATCCGCTTCTCCTCGTCCGGCTTGAACGAAACCGCATAGAACGAAAACTTGGGCGGCAAGCCGTACCGCAGCACAGACTCAACAAACAACCGCAGCGCCTGCACACACAGACACACACAGACACGCATGCGGGCGCACGTGTGTTAGGCGACAAGGGGGTAAACAAGCTCGTGCGCAGGCTCGCGTTTGACCGCGAGCACCCGAGCATACAGCAGAGTTGTGCAGCGGGTGCGTTTGTCACAACGTCGTGGCAGCGCAGTTCAGAACGACCTTGAGGTGCATCCAAGCTGTAAAGCACTGGTCAAACGACAGCTGGAGCCAGTCCATCAACCGAGCCTGAACAAGCGTGTACACACCAACAAAACGTCACCATCATCAGAACTTGGCCACTACCATCGTTTGCTCTCACATGCACGCACACGCACACACACACGCACACACACACACACACACACACACACACACAAAGGGATTGCAACATCTGCAGCAAACGTGAGCAAATGTAACCAGGCGGAAAAAAGGTGTGAACTCACGTGCTTCTCTTTGAATTCGTTGGCGAGATGCGTTGTATCCGCCTCCTGCTGGGCGACCGTCTCCTCATCAAACTCAAAGTCCCTGACCGTGAATCTAACGCCATACGCAGGTACACACACATATAGGCAGAACAGGATAATCAGAATGCAGCACTTGGATCAAAGCAGGAATCAGTACATCATCTGCGTGAGCAAACAGGGGCCCTCTGATGAAACACGCACAGCAATGCCAATGCCTGGTGCAGCATACTTTTTCTCTCTGGCGGCTGCCCGAAAGTCGTCAGCAATGCGACGGAAGAGCGTCACAGAGAACAGGCCGTATTCGCTGTCCTCATGGATGAGCCTGCAATCAGAACAGTCGCACATATTCAAACGCGATAGCATGCGTACACATACACATACGTAAACGCGAGATGATGCACACATGTACATTCACACAAAAGCACATGAGGGACGGAGGTCAGCAATTGCAGAGCGACGGAGGCTTCAACCTAGCTTAGCAGAAAATGCAACCCCCCCGCAACGGCTGCCGTTGTGCCAGACAAAGCAACGCCACTCACTGTGTGGAGCCAGGGCAGACGTAGTCCGTCAACGTTGAATATGATGACTTCCAATCGTTGTACGCATACCTGCAGCACCGCAACACACGACATTTAAAAAAACGAAGACAGGAGCAAAAGCAAGCAAAACACAAGCATGGCACTCAAACGCAGCACGAAAGGAGCCAGCAGTTGTATGGCGTGAACAAAAGCAACAGCGTTGTCGATGTGTCGAACATCCACGCCAAGCACGGTGGCGCTGGAGCGAGGCAACACGGTGTCTGATGGGGGTGGGAGGTCGCCTTACTTTGGAACAACGACCATCAGCGTTGTGAGGAACTCCGAATTCTGCACTACATGCTCCGGTTTGACAATGTCACTGAGGCTGCGAATCAGCAAACTGCCCCTGAGAATCGAGACAAAAGAGCAATGGATCAACGGCACAACAGTGAGCGTAAAGGTTGCATGCTCATCACGGTCAAGCACCAGCGCTTGCTCTTAATCCAATTTGCCAGAGCGTGACGAGTGTGCGAATCACACGAAACAGCCCATGACAAAGCAGCATACAACGGCAACGTACTGGTTCTTGCGCTCGACGGCTTGCAACGCACCCTTGACCTGATGTGAGGCAATTCGTCCACACAAGCAACATAATCGAATGCAAGCTTAGACTACAACGTTGTCAAACAAACTAAGGCTATCCAGGAATGAGGGGTACACACCAACAGCCACAGCGTTTAACAGTACTGCCACCAGTCAGCAACCTCACCTTGGAGTACGCCTGCATCCGTGCTTTCAGATCTGTCTCGACCGCTGTCACTTGCTAGCACATGCAAACAGTCAACAGAGGCAAACGCAGTCAAACATTAAAGGAGAGTGCCGCTGTAAAAACAAGCCTCTTAAGTCAAAGGGTAGATGCCTTCGTACTTCTCTTAAGTCAAAGGGTAGATGCCTTCGTACTTCACAGCAAGCGGCAGTCTTCAGAGTTGACGGTGACAAGATACCTGTGTCAGGGTTTGTGCGAGGTCACGAATCGGCTGCTTGGCATTGTACCGCCGTGAGTCCCAGTCAAATTGCCCAACGAACGCATCAATTGGCTTCGAGTCCGCAAGAAGGGCCTCACGAAGCTGCAGTGTCGGCGAGCAAGCAATCAAAGCGGTGTCACACAAAAACACAGGTGAGGACAGGCAGTCGTCAAGTCCAGAAGCCATCACGAGTCAGCAGATGTTTCACAGCAGCCATTACCTTTGCTTTGTCCTGAAGCATCTCTCCGAGTGCATGGGCTATCTTGTTGGCAACTGTCTCCATGTACGAGTCATGTTTCATAAGCTCGTCGCACAGCGCCACCAGCTCATCCAGTGTGCCAACCTTCATGTCATTGGTGTGTGTGTGTGTGTGTACAGGAACGAACGTGTGAGCCGAAGCTTATCAGCCAACACTCCATTTTTGCCACGGACACTCAAACAACGACGCTGTTACAAGCGACCGTTAAAGTGAAGGGCACAAAGCGTGCTTGTGCTTCATGTGGCATGCTTGTGGCGTGTCAGGCAACGAAAGCGTTGGGTGTGTCAGAAGGTTGACGGATAAACGTACTCGGCTCAGTGGGATGCCGAGTTCACTCGCGGAGCACCCTCGCGGCAAGGTTTGGCGCAGCTCCTGAATGTGGAGGCAAGGGGAAAGGAAGACACGGGGAGTGAGCAACACTCCACAAACGCCGACCTTCGGTATCTCATGAAACAAGACAAACAAAAGCAGCATGTTGGGCATCCCAGTTGAAGTCAGCAGCCGCTGCGAGACCAGCAGCCATCCTCACAAACCTGCAGCGTGTGTTGGCCAGCCGGCACTGAAACAAGCGCAAACGCAGACATGGTAGCTTCTTGTTCACGAGCAAGGCCTGGAATCATGGAGGCAAGAAAACAAGTGTTACGTGTCGGTGTCATGCGTCAAGCTGTGGCGAATCGAGACACATCGTCCTCGATGTGCGCGCTTCTCGGACAACAGCCTCCACCACCTCACGCACACAGACACACAGGCACACAAGAGCATCAGCACCTTGGGGATGATGATGGAGGAGCTCTTTGGGTTGTCTTGTTTTTGTTTGGAGGGCAGGAAACTTTTCAAAGAAAAAGGTACTTGGTACCACCTTCGAGCACAAAAAAAAATACATGTATTTTTGCACAGCGAACAAGGTGGTGGGCAAACAACACGGAAATCATACCTGTTTTGGTGCTCTTGCAGCCAACCCCCAAGAGAAGCTTGCAGACCACTGTTCCCGCCATTTCTGGTGACAAACACCAAGCAGACCTTACCGACGACCACACCAACCTTCATACCCCCTTCTTCTGACCTTTCCCCCATCTTCAGTGAAGGCTACAACAACAAGCCTTCCCCCTCCCTCCTTTCTTCACCGCTAGTGCCACCGGCCTCACAGCCACCGCAAACCTTGCACACAACATCCGCGAGCTAAGGCGTTGGGGATTCGTGCAGCACGCCATGGCACGCGCCATGACAGGGCACCCTCGCGCTCGCCCTAGATTGGCAAGTTGCTTGGCCGTTCTGACCGTTGCGTTCCTTTTGACTGCAGTGCCCACCCTGGCGCTGCCACCCACCTTGACGCAGTTCGGGCTCGACCTCTCTCTTGACCGTGTTGAACTGGTGTTCTCCGAGCCGGTGAACATCTCCACGTTCGACGCAAACGCCTGGTTTTTGACATCGAACGCCACGACCAACGAAGAACAGCTCTACCTGACAGATGGCGTCATCAGCTCGCCGGATGGTGGCACAACCTTGTATCTCAACCTCAGCACTGCCACAGTCGATGGGCTGGCGTCGCGTGAACAGTTGGGCCGCACCACGCAGTCAACCTTCGTCAATGCAGACAATGCTGGTGTGACGGACTTGCAGGCGGAGGACTGGCAGACGCTGGCACAAGGAAAGCCACCCGATTACATCGTTCCCGACATCGAAGGTCCAGTCATAACATCAGCAACCCTGAACATGTCCAATGGAGACGTGTTCTTCGCTTTGTCCGAAACTGTGGACGAGACGTCATTTCTTGCAACTTGGGCATCAATCCTGTGCTTGGAACGAGCACAGTATGTGACCACAGTGAAGGCGAATGTTACCACGGTGACAACAAGGCAAGGACGAGCTACCATCAGCGCCCGAGACTTGAACGTGCTGAAACTTCTGCAGTGCGCGACGATCGTGCTGACGACCGTGGTCAACGCGTTCGACGACCAGTTTCAAAATGCGCATGAAGCTGCAAACGTAACGATGTTCACGTTCCCAGACACGACCAGCCCGGAGCTGACGGCGTTTGACCTCAACATGACGTCTGGCGAGCTTGTGCTTGAGTTCTCAGAGCCGGTCCTTGCATCGTCGCTGGACCTTTCTGCTCTGGTCCTGGCCAACGACACGGACGCTGCCTTTGCCGTGCGCACTGCGCTGGACAACGGCACTGCCTCTGCTGTGGATGGCACTCAGCTGCGCATCACGCTCTCTGTGAGCGTGGTTGATGCCATCAAGCTTGCTGCCAACACTGCGCAGGCTGCCGCCGCCACCTTCCTCGACGCAAGCGGCGCGCTTGTCGCTGACATGGCCGGACAGCCCTCTGTCGCTGTGGCTGCGCTGCCTGTGCGGGTGCTCGCGCCAGATGCTGTTGCGCCCGTGCTTGTGTCCTATGGCGTGCGCATGGACCAGGCCCGCCCGCCCATTGTCCTGACGCTTGTGTTCTCCGAGCCTGTGGATGTGGGCGCGCTCAACCACACTGCCCTTGTGTTCCAGTCCAACGCGACAGCAGCCACGTCTGCGGAGTCTTACCGCCTGCAGCACGCTCCAGCCGCTGTTGTGCCCAGCAGCAGCCAGCGCCAGGTGGCGATTGAGCTTGCCACGGGCGATTTCCTTGCGCTGCGGGATGCTGCTGGCCTTGCTGTGCTGATGCGCAGCGCGGCCACCACGTACCTGCGCTTTGATCCTGTGCTTGTGACAGACACCATTGGCTCGAGCGTGGTTGGCGTCTCCGCTGTTGACGGCGCTGTGGCTCCGAGCGAGTACACGGTTGACCTTGTGCCGCCGCAGCTCAGCGCGTTTGACGTTGACATGGATGCTGGATTTGTTGTGCTGCGCTTCAGCGAGGACGTGAACGCGAGCAGCATCGCTGTGGGTGCGTTTTCCCTTGTTGCCGCGCGTGGCGCGAACGTGACTGCGGAGGGTGTGACTTTTGATGCCGCCCTTGATGCTGCGAGCAGCACAGGCAACGCCACCCAGGTGCGTATTGACCTGAGCGTGTCGACGCTCAACCGCGTCAAGGCTGACGCTGGCCTTGCTGTGAGCCGCAGCACGTCGTTCCTGGCTGTTGCGGCAGGTGGCATTGCTGACTTTGCTGGCAACAGCATGCGGCAGGTTGCCTCTGCTTCTGCCGTGGCTGCGGTCAGCTATGTCGCCGACGCAACTGGCCCTGTGCTGCAGAGCTTTGCCCTCAACATGACCTCTGGTGTGCTGCGCCTCACCTTTGACGAGGTTGTGGCCAGGGCAACGTTTGATGCGACGCAGGCCCGCCTGGTCAACGCCGCCACGGGCGCGACTGTGGCTGTTGCGCTGGATGCGGTGGCTGTGGACGCCCCAGCCGCCAACAGCACGACCCTTGGCTTCACCCTGACCCAGGCTGCCGCAAACGAGGTGCGTGCCAGGACTGGCCTCGGAACGACGGTGGACAACACGTACCTGCAGTTGCTGGCAGGTGCCATCCGCGATGCGGCCGGCAACGCAAACTTGCCCGTCACAGCCAACGCAACACAGGTTGTGCAGGATGCCCTGCCCGCGCGCCTGCTCGCGCTGTCGCTGAACATGGACAGCGGCGTGCTGAGCCTGTCGTACAGCGAGCCCGTGCAAGCCCTCACGCTGGTGCCTGCTGCCATCACGCTTGCCCGCGCTGCCAACAGCACAAGCACGTACACGCTGGCACACAGCACGGTTGTCACCTCCGGCTACACGCAGGTCGTCGACGTGGCGCTTGGTGCTGAGGACATCACGGCGCTGAAGCTGGCGGGCATTTGCCTGTTCCAGGACGCGTGCGCCGTGTCTGCCAACGGCACCCTTGTGCAGGATGCCACTGGGGCATTTGTGCCTGCTGTTGCGGATGCGGAGATCAACGACGTGTTTGTGGCTGACCAGACAGCCCCGGCGCTTGCCGACCGCGGCTTCTTGTACTTTGACCTGAACAACGGCACAATTGCGCTCAGCTTCACAGAGGTTGTGAACGTGACCTCTGCGCGGCCCACGCGCATCACGCTGCAGTCGTTCTTCGAGAGCCCAGAGGCCAGCTACACGCTGACTGGCGGCCGCGTGCTTGGCGGCTACCACAGCGGGCCCGGCTCGACGGTTGTGCTCATTGCCCTTTCCACCAGCGACCTCAACGCTGTCAAGGCTCCTGCTACGTGACGTTGGGTGGCGGGCTCACACTGGACATGAATGGGAATCCATCCAGCACACTTTTGTCTGGGAGCCCGTTCAGCGGTTCGCAAACCTTTGTTACTGACACGACGGCACCGGGGCTTGTGTCCTTTGGCATTGACATGGAGGCGGGCACAGTGGCACTGACGTTTGATGAGAGCATTGACAGCGTGAGTCTGCAGGCAACCGGCATGACGCTGCAGACAGCCATGTGGGCAAGCGGGGCCGCGTACTCGGCCAACCACACACTCACTGGCGGCAGTGTCACTGTGTTGTCGTCAACCACGCTGGAGCTTGCGCTGCTGACGGCTGACGTGCAGCGGCTCAAGGCCCTTGACCTGTGCCTGGGCGCCGCTGCCAACTGCACGCTGAGTGCCGCTGGCGGCTTTGTGCAGGACCTTGCGCTCTCGCCCAACGAGGCCCTGGCCATCTCGCGCGCAGCCGCCCTCAACGCGTCTGCGATTGTTGCTGATGTGACCAGCCCGCGCATCGCCGCATTCACCCTCGACGTTGATGTCGGCACGCTGCTTGTCACCTTCAACGAGCCCGTGCGTGGCGAGTCTTTCGACCCAACGGGCCTGACGGTGCAGGCCGCGCGCACGTCTGCGATTGAGTCTGTGACGCTCACGGGCGGTGCTGTGTCGCTTGTGCGGGCAGAGGCTGGCGATGTGGGCTCGCGCGTTGTGCGTGTTGACCTGCTGCAGGACGACACAGTGTCGCTCAAGCTGAACCTCAACCTGGCCACGGCACAGGCAGACACGTACCTGAGCGCTACAAACGCAACGGTGCAGGACATGTCTGGGAACTGGAACGCGCCCGTGCCAACCAACGACGCGCGCCCCAGCTCCGTGTACCAGAGGGACGAGACGCCCGCGGCGCTTGTGTCCTACGAGCTGGACATGCTTGCTGGCACGCTCTCTCTGACGTTCAGCGACGTCGTTGACGTGAGCACCCTGCGTGTGCAGAGCATTGCGCTTGTCAATGCCGGCACAAGCTATGCCCTGCAGTCGAGCACAACAAACAGCACAGACGGGCTGTACGTTGTGATTGACCTGTCTGTGGAGGACCTGCTGGGGGTGCTGCGTGTACCTGGCCTTGCCCGTACGCGCGACACGACGTTCCTGACCATGGACGCCACTGCCCTCGACGACTTTGCTGGCCTGGATGTTGCGGTTGTCACGTCTGACAGCCCACAGCAGGCATTGGCGTTTGTCGCCGACACAGCTGCCCCGGCGCTTGTGTCCTTTGACTTCAACCTCACTGCTGGCGATCTCGCTCTGACCTTCTCTGAGCCTGTCAACGCCAGCACGGTCGACTTCGCCCGCATCCAGCTGCGCGCCGCTGCAAACGCAACCGACGCTGCCCTCACGCTGTCGCTGACTGGCGGTGCGCTGACGCAGAGCGCCGACGACCGCGTGCTGTACGTGCGCATGACTGCAGCCGACTTCCTCGCCCTGCAGGCCAAGCGCGCACTGGCCACAAACGCCTCAACGACGTTTGTGTTTGTGGACGGGCTGCTGGACGACTACTTTGGCAACACGCTGGCGGCCGCGGATGCGACTGCCCAGCAGGTGGCCGTGTTTGGCGAGGACACGCGCGCGCCGACGCTCGTGTCTGTCTCGCTTGATCTTGATGCGCGCACGATGAGCATGGTGTTCAGCGAGACGATGGACAGTGCTTCATTCGAGCCGTCCGTTGTGCGCTTTGCCTGCGGTAACGCTACGTCGTCTGACTTTGGCGATTCTTCCGTCCAGCTTTCGCTCGGGCACCCATGCCACGCTGAGCATTGCTGCGGCCGAGGCAAGCGCCATCCAGGCCCAGGCCGGCGTGGTCAGCAACGTGCACTCGGTTGTCGTTCTCGTTTCTTCTGATCTTGCTCAAGACACAGCTGGGAACCAAGTGCGCAGGATGGCAGGAGTTGAGGTTCAAATCGTACTTGATCAGACCTCCCCGGCCATCGCGTCGCTTTCAATGGATTTGAACATCGGTGACATGACAGTGCGCTTCGATGAGCCCATCATGGAAGTGTCGCTGAACGCTTCTTGCATCGCTGTTCAATCACTTGTGAATGCCAGCTTGCCTGCTGTGTTGCTCGCAAACTCGAGCGCAGAAACGCTCTACGGGCAGCAAGAGGCGTTAGTGACGCTTGGGCCGTATGACTTGAACCAGCTGAAGGGCCTTGTTTGGAAATCTGGATCCGCCAACCTGTCAGCCCAGATTTGTGTTGCTTTCGGAGTTGACCTTGCACAAAACCCGAGCGTTTCCAGGACTTTGAATGTCACTGTCAGCTCCCTGGACGAGACCGCCCCAGAAGTTATCTCCGCAAGCCTCAATCTCACTTCCGGAATAGTGCAGCTCGTCATTGACGAGCCGGTCGTTGCCACAAGTCTGGACGTGACCAAACTTGAAGTGGGAGGTGGGATCAGAGGGTCAGTCGTTCGTCTCAACGCGTCAACATTACTCCATGCACAAGACAGTGCACTGCGCACTGTTCTGCAGCTGCGCGTGCCGGATCTCGTCTTGGACCAACTCAAGTTTTTGGTTGCTGGGTCCGAGGGTGACGTTGTCATTGGCATCGAATCCGGCGCCATGGTGGATGCAAGTGACAATGAGATTCAAGCAAGCGTTGGGAACGACTCGGTTGCTTTCTCGCAGATTGCGGTAGACACGGCGGCTCCTGCAATCTCGGAGTTCCGGGTCAATCTCAACGCATCGACCATCAGCATCAGCATGACTGAGCCAATCGACGCCAGTGCAGGCATCCTGACAGACAAGCTGCGGTTGCTGGTTGACAATGTCCTTCTTTTGCGACCTCAGCGAATGCCAGTGAGCGTCTCCAATTATGCGCGAAGCCTCACATTCACGCTGTCGAGCGATGACGCCAATCTAGTCAAAGCAGCGCTCGCTCGCGCCGGGTTGGTAAGCACGATCCAACTGACGGCTGAGCCAAGCTTCTGCGTCGACTTATTCAGCAACGCGCTGCAGCGCATCTCGACGCCTCTCAACGCATCTGTGGTCGTGAGCGACGTTTCTGCACCCAACCTACTCCAGTTTGGCTATGATAACGGCCGTGGTCTGGTGCGGCTGCAGTTTTCTGAGCCGGTGGATCTCTCGACTGTGAACATCAGTGCAGCCGCTCTGACAAACGCCAATGGGTCGTTCACTGTTGGCCTTGAGAACAGCACCATACTTGGCTCCAACAATAACACGTGGGTTACGTTGAAACTCGCAAACGCTGAACACTGGACCGTCCAGACGACAGCAGCAATTGGCAGCGACGTGAACAGCACATTCCTGCTCGTCCCGAATGCAACCATCGTGAAGGATGTGTTTGGTAATGCACTCGTTGCCGAGGATTTGCGTGGCGGCGTTCGTGTACAAGCCACCTTCGTTGTGCCTGACACGGTGGCACCCTCGCTCGTTTCTGGGTCCTTGAACATGGCAACTGGGGTGCTTCAGCTGAGGTTGTCAGAGCCAGTGAGCATTGACTCGTTCAATCTAACGCGGCTTGTGCTGCACAACAGCAAGAACCGCGATGATTCAACTGCAAAGCTGGTCCTCTCTGACAGTGTTGCATTGCGCTCCGTCACTCAGCCGACTGAAGTCAAAGTGGCTTTGTCGCAGCGGGAGCTTGATGCTGTCAAGGTTGACAGGACCCTCGCCGTGAACACATCAACTGCATGGTTCACCCTGGAAGCCGGTGCTGTTCAGGACTATGCCAAGGTGCCAAATGAACGCACGGAAGGATTGCTAATCGCTGAGCTTGTACCAGATAGCGTGAAGCCGGTGTTGGTGGCCTCATACTTGAACATGACCAGCCTTGAACTTGCACTCATCTTCTCTGAGCCTGTTGCTTCGCGTTCCATCAACACCAGCCTCATTTCGCTGGCGGGGGACCGAGGTGTGCCAGCGGCTCGCACAGTGACGCTTGCAGGAGCAAGTGTGGTGGGGCAGTTGCTCAGCCGGCGTGCTATGATCAACTTGCACGGACATGTCGCGTTTGCGATCCAGGCTGACCTTGGGGTTGCTACTTCGCGCAATGATTCGGTCCTGCGGTTGGCTGAGGGGTTTGTCATCGACACGTCTGGAAATGCGATCGCTTTCCAGGAAGCTGTCGTCACTGACTTCACGCCGGATGAGCGAGCTCCGCTGGCCACTGCTGCTGCACTTGATCTTGACGCGCTCACGCTCAACATCACATTCGACGAGGTCGTCAGAACGTGCAACTTGACATCCATCTTTGTGTCTGATGCAGAGAATGCGAGCAGCGCTGGTCGCGTGCCGCTGGTGGGCAGCAATGCCAGCTTCAGCTTGAATATCCTTCGAGTCGAACTTTCGCAGGCAGTGGCCAATGCTCTCAAATCACACGAGACGGTTTGCCGGTCGCCAACATCGTGCTATGTGGTACTTGGTCGCGGAAGTGTTGCTGACGCTTCCGAGAACCAAGTGGCAGACGTGCAGCCTGTGTTGGTGCTGCCATACGTTCAGGACAGAACACCGCCAACAATCACGGCGTTCGCGTTGGACGTTGAAGCGGGCGAGCTGCGCTTGCGGTTTGACGAGCCCGTCGACGTGTCCGCTGCAAACGCATCACTGAGTAGCTTGAACATGTCGCTGCAGAGTGTTCCCAGCGCGTCGTTTGCACCATCGCCGCTCGTTGTGAACTTGCGCTCGCCCCTCTCTGTACAAGCTGTGGGTGGCCTGTTTGGTCAACGGTACGCCCTGGAGATGAACGTGAGCATTGCTCGCAGTGTGATTGACGACGTGAAACGAGCCTATCCTCTGGCCTCCTCGACGCAACAGACGTTCCTGGCTGTCGGCGGCGGTGCCTTTAGGGACGCTCGTGGAAACCCTTCAAACGCCATCGATGCGGAGAAGGCGCTCGTTGTCGAACGGTTGCATCCAGACTTGGTGGCACCAGTTCTGCTTGCCACATCAATTGACTTTGCTGCTGAAAGCATTGTGCTGACCTTCGATGAGCCGGTAAACAGCAGTTCGCTGGCTCTCGCCGGAATCTCAGCCATTGGTGGCCTTGGCCGCGTTGCACTGCAGGTCACGGACGTGCAACCAGCGCATGGAACTGTGGTGGTGGAGGCTACGTTAGCCGATGAGAGCCTCGCCTGGCTGAAGCTGTCAGCGGTCGAACTACAGCAGGGCGGCGTCGCCGTGGAGCTGCGTACGGGTGCTATTCGGGATTGGAACGGTAACCAAGTTCGGCAGACTGCACAAGCGCTCAAACTGGACTCTGCAGACTCAACTGCAAGTCGGTTGCTCGCTTTCAATGTGACGTGGACTGATGAGAATGTGGGGGTCACGCTCGTGTTTGATGAACCAGTGAACACCACAACCCTTGGTCTGGAGAGCGTGCTGACGCTGAGCAACTGCTCCCGTGATGGCAGCCAAATTTCCACTGTTGTGCACGCAGCTGCGCTACACGGTGGTTTTGTCCCTGGTGGAAACGAGAGCAGCGCCGTGTTTGTGTCAGGTGCCAATGCAACCTCCATAAGGTACGAGCAAGATGGCGTGGCCATTGCCATCGCTGACAGCATGGCCGAAGAAATGCAGTTTGCTCGTGTGTGCCTCGCACGAGACGCGTGTTGTTTGGGCCTGACAGCTGGGTTTGTCCAAAACCACTTCCGCGTTGCCTCGGCTCCGGTTTCGTTGAATGAAACGGCTCGGCCCAGCGTACTTGAGCCCGACGTGTCCCGACCAACACTGGTTGGATTTGTGGTTTTGGACTTGAACTCGCGGGAGCTTGTGTTGTCATTTTCGGAGCCCATGGATGAGACCAGCCTGAACGCGACGCAGCTGAAGTTGGAGGGTGCTGCTTTCCCGGGTCACACGTCAGATGTGCTGGTGTTGTCTGAACCAGAGCGAGTGGATGTTGGAGCTTCAGGCACCCTGCTGACACTCACGCTCAGCCTTGAGGACGCCGCTGGCATCAAGCTTCGCTCATCGCTGTGTGTCTCCGCAGCATCGTGCTGGCTGCGACTTATGGATGGGGCCATCATGGACGCAAGCGGAAACGCCGTCGTTGGGATTGAGCCCAGCACCGCTTCGGATCCAGAGCGGGACACCCCCCTGCTTGTCTTGGACAACACCGGTCCCAGTGTGCTCGAGTTCAGCCTGAACCTGGACGCAGGTACGTTCGGCGTGCGGTTTGACGAGCCGGTTGCCCGCGACAGCATTGACTCTCGCCTGGGCAGCATTTCCGCCAATGGGAACTCAACTTCGTGGGATGTACAGCTTCGAGGAAGTGTACTGAGCTCAAGTGCAGACCTGCGCAGCTTCACGTTGAGCCTTGAAGAGGGTGACGCAAACGGCATCAAGGCGCTGGCGGCCGCGGGCCTGTGCACAACGCCAGCATCTTGCTTCCTGAGAACCGACAATGGATTTGCTGCTGATGTGTTTGGGAATGACAACTCCGCTCAAAGCGCAGTGCCTGTTGGAACGCTCATTGGAGATGCGACCGGCCCCGAGTTGACTGAGGTTGCTCTGCTCGATCTCACGCGCGGTATTCTTGAGCTTGAGTTCAATGAACCAGTCAATGCGTCGAGCTTGGATGTGTCAAGGATCGTGCTGGTCAACGCGACAGCCGGTGGCAGTGCTCCCGCGAGCTTCGTGGGCAGTTTGCGCTTGTCTGAAGCCCCGCTGCGGGTGAGCTACCGCGATGGTGCGACGAAGACCGGGCTCGTGGTTGCACTGTCCTCAGCACAGCTTGAGGCCATCTCCACGCGACTGGACATTGCCGTGTCTCAGGACACCTCGTATGCATTCATGGATGCGGGTGCTGTGCAGGACATGGCAGGTAACCTCCTCGCAAACAGAACATCTGCGCTTGCTTGTACCAGTTACGTCAGCGCAGGACGTGCAAGCATTGTTGGTGTTGAGCTCGATCTCGACGAGGGTGTGCTCAAGCTGACCCTGAGCGCCGCCGTTAGCGCGCAAAGCCTGAGAGCGGAGGAGCTCAGGCTTCAGAACGTCGGCGATGCGGACGCCGCCACACAGGCAGGCACGCTGGTTTCGCACACCCTGCTGGCAGCCAGCTCCAACACGAACAGCCGTGACGGATTCAGTGTCACGGTGATCCTGGCTGAGGAGGACCTGAACGCGATCAAGGGCCAGCGCGCCCTGGCAACCTCCCGGAACAACACGTTCTTGGTGGCGAGTGGCGAGGCGCTCACAGGATTGGATGGTGCTGCCATCCTGGCGGTTGTTCGTGGAGCTGCACTTCAAGCCACACGCGTGGTAGCTGACGGAACACCGCCCGCGTTGGTCGGTTTTAACTTCAGCCGCGAGCTGGGCGTCATTGACCTGTCATTCTCCGAGGTTGTTGATGTTGCCATGCTAAACGCGAGTGCCCTCACCCTGACTGCGACCAACGCGACTGACACAGCCAGCTTTACAGTGCCCGCGGGTAGTCGGGTGTCAGTTCCAGCTGGTGCGAACGTGGGATCCGGGGCACTGCAGGCCACCGTAAAGCTGTCAGAACAGGCCTTGTGGGCCTTGAAGACGACGCAAGGGGTTGGTGAGGCAATCGCTTCCTCCAGATTGGTGGCTGCGGCTGGCTTTGTCGCAGACATGGCCGGCAACCGCATGGTTGCGCTTGCACGACGCAGCGCACTAGTGGCCACGGCCTTTGAAGGTGATGCCACTCCGCCCGAGCTGCTTTCGTTCAACCTGAACATGACAGCCCTGTTGCTGACGCTGAACATGTCCGAGCCGGTGCCGCGGGCGTCACTGCAGGAGCAGCACGTTGCGCTGCTTGCGAGTGCGACAGCTCCCATCGGTGTTACGCTCGACGGCGGTGTTGTGGGCGTGGAGCTGTCCGCCTATGACACAATCGTCACAGTGAAACTGAGTGCCGAACTGGCGGACGCCATCCACTCTGTGCCAGGCCTGTGCCTGAGCGCTGACAGCTGCTTCCTGTCTGCAGGGTCAGCGGCAGCGACAGACACTGCCGCGAATGCGCTCGTCGCCACCACGGGGCTGAGAGTCTCGGTGTTTGCACGAGACTCGCGTGCGCCAGTGCTGCTTGGGTTTGAGCTGGACATGACTGCGGAGGTGCTGGTTCTGACCTTTGACAAGGTGCTTAACACGACTGAGCTGGCCCGTCGGTACGTCACGCTGCCGTCCTCGGTGATTCTGCAAAGCAATGACACGGCGCTGACGCTCTCTGGGTCACGGGTTGTAGACGCCGGTGTCTCGCGGCGTGTCAACATCACACTGAGCTCAAACGATGCTTTCCAGGTGCAGTTGTCGGATGGCATCGGCCGAACAACGGCAGACACGTTCCTTGCATTGAACGCTGGTACAGGCCTGACGGATGTTAGCGGCAACGAGGTACTGGCCACAGGGGCGCTTCAGGCCAAGACCGTCCGGGCGGACACTCGCCGGCCGCGGCTTGTGTCGTACGAAGTCGACATGACACTGGGAAGTCTGGTGCTGGTGTTCACTGAGCCCGTGCGTGTGTCGAGCGTTGACGCGACCGCGCTGACGCTGGTGGGCGCTGGTGGTGGGCGCAACGTGACCTTGCGTGGTGGCAACGTGCGTGGAGATAACGGCCTACGCATTGAGTTGCGCATGACGCGTGGGGACCTTGACGCCGTCAAGGCCTCGGGTGGCCTGTTTGCCAACGCCAGCAACACCGGGTTGCTGATGGCAGCACACTTGTGTGATGACATGGCTGGCAATGCCTTGGAGCCCGTGCTCGCGCCCCTGCAGGCAAGTGCGTTTGTGCAGGATGTCAACCAACCGCTGCTGGTTGAATTTGACCTGAACATGAACTCGCGGGTGTTGACCTTGGTGTTCAACGAGAGTGTGGATGTGGGCACGCTGAACGTCAGCGCCATTGTGCTTGAACCGAACTCGTCCTCGGCCGCCGCGGGCAGTGGACACCGCCTACAGGGTGGGCACGTGGCGGGGACGGACGTGCTGGCACGCCGGATCGACGTTGCGTTGGAGAGCGCGGACGTGGATGTGCTCACACAGAAGCGCATTGCAGTTTCGCGTGAGCGAGCATGGCTGTCACACGCATCGGGGCTCGTGCAGGATCGTGCCGGTCGACGCGCTGTTGCCCGTGGTAGCGAAGGCTCCGGCGTAAGCGCCCTGGGTGCGCTGCTGTGTGCCAACTTCACCACCGACACGACTGCTCCCGTGCTGGTTGATTTCACGCTGTCCCTCACGAGCAACGAGCTGTGGCTGACGTTCTCTGAGACGGTCGTTGGAGCAAGTCTTGATTTGTCCCGCGTAGTGCTGCAGAACGTTACAAACGCCACAGCCAACACGTTCCCCGTCGTGACCACCGTCACCACAGCAAACGGGCCAGTCCGAGTCGTCAGCGGCAATGAATTGCGGTTTGAGGCGGTGCGCCTGGGCAGCGGCTCACAAGTTGCGGATGGGCAGCCGTGGGCGTTCCCGGTGCTGCGCGTCGAGCTGGCCTTTGAGGATGTGGAGCGTCTGCGCGCGAGCCTGTCGCTCGCCGTGTCACGGGAGAGCACATTCTTGCGTTACGACGCGGAAGCCTTCTCCGACGTGTTCGCGCAGAGGGCTGGTGCGCTGACGGCCGACGAGGCAGCTGCGTGCGGTGCATTTGAGCGCGACGGCGTCGCCCCGCGCGTTGTTGCGGTCGGCGTCGACTTGAGTCAGCGCGGCCATGCCAACGTGACGCTGGAGTTCTCGGAGACGGTGGACGTACAGTCGCTTCAAGTGACCGCAATCTCGTTCCTCAATATCACGACTGGTGCTCTGGATGCTGGTGCCGTGACGTTGCGGCGTGCAGGCACAGGCGTGCAGCAGGAAGGGGGCTTCATCCTCGCCGGGTATGGTCGGCACGTGTCGCTGTCGCTGTCGGCAGCTGATTTGCAGGCGCTGCAACTGCGCCCGAGTCTCGTTGCAACGCAGAACAGAACGTTGGTGCAGGTCGCGGCCGGCGCGGTGACTGACACGGCCGGTAATGCCATATCTGCGACGGAGGCGTTCGTGCCTGTGGTGTTCCTGTCAGACGAGAGCGGGCCCGTGCTGGATGCGTTTGAACTCGACATGGACGACGGGGTTCTGGTCCTGACGTTTGACGAGGTTGTCGCGGTAGACACATTTGATGTCAGTGCCGTCGTGCTGCTTTCGAACGCGTCGGTTGATGTCGTCGACCGCGATGGTCGCGCCACGTCCAACGAGACGTGGTTCCGGTTGACACCAGACAGCGAGGCACACGGTTGGTCTGGCAGTTCGTTGTCGGCTGATTTGCTTTCCACGCAGATTGCCGTGGTGTTGGGCGCTGATGATCTGAACGAGCTCAAGGCCCGACGCAGTGTGGCCTCGAATGCTGCGACAAGTGTGCTTGTCTTGGCTGCTGGTGCGGTTGCGGACGGTTTTGGCAACACCAATGAAGCCATCCATGCCACGCGCAACCTGCAGCCAGCTCGGTTTGTGGCTGATGTCACCGGCCCCGTGTTGCGGCGGTTTGCGCTGGACATGAACGAGGCGCTCCTTGAGATGACATTTGACGAACCCGTGCTTGCCTCATCGCTGAATGCAAGCCTGCTGGTTATTCAGGGGGTGGCGAACAGCGCGCTGGCTGGTGCGACGCAGTTGCGACTGGGGACCAACGGAACCAAGGTATCCTACGGCGCAACCGCCCTGGTGCTGAGGATGGCGCTTGCAGACGCCGACGTGTACCTGCTGAAGGCGCGTGGCGGCTTGGCGACTGCACGAGCATCGACATACTTGCGTGCGGATGCTGGGTTTGTGCGTGACACGGCCAGCAACGCTGCTGTGGGGACGCCCCATTCCACGGCCCTTGGTGTGAGCAGCGACTTTGTTGCAGACAGTGTGCCACCAGCCCTGCTCCGCTTCACGTTTGACCTTGACAGTGCTGTGGTGCAGCTGACGTTCTCGGAGCCTGTTGCATCGGGAACGCTGGATGCCACGAAGATGTTTGTTGCAGGCGCACCGCTGAGCACGGGCGGTGACACCGGATACCGTGCAGCTAGCGAGACTGCCGGAGCAGAGTACGTGGAGATGCACGTGTTGCGGGTGGACCTGACTGGGGCGTTTATTGGGACGCTGAAACTGGACGCTGCAGTTGCAACCGCGCAGGAGAACACGTGGCTGGTTGGTGAGCGTGGCTTTGTGCGAGACATGCAAGGCAACCAGGCTGATCCCGAGGCTGGCGTAATGGCTGCCGGCTACCATGGGGACGATACCAGGCCAAGCGTTGCAGGCTACGTCATCGACATGACGTCTGGCATGCTGACCTTGACATTTGACGATGTTGTGAATGCCCGTTCATTTGATCGCAGCGGACTGAGTTTTGTGCCGTTTTCTGATGAGGGCCAGAGCGGTGGTGGTGGTACGGATCAGACCTCGGTCGTCGCCTTGGAGCCATAAGCTTCAAGTTGATGACTGAGCCCATCCTTGTGTGGGGGGGGATAGTGTGGGTGGGTGTGTTGGAGATGGTGGCGAGGGAGAGAGAGGGGGAGATGTGTGTGTGTGTGTGTGTGTGTGTGTGTGTGTGTGTGTGTGTGTGTGTGTGTGTGTGTGTGTGTGTGTGTGTGTGTGTGTGTATGTGTCTGTGTGGGACGCGACGTATTGGTTGCTTTTGTGGTGTCGTAATGCGTAACAATAAACAGTTTGGACTATCCTTGAAAGTAGGAGTGATCTTACACGTGCGAATGATTGCAAAGGCACACAAACGCAGCAATGACAGCAACAACGGCGCTGCTGCCACCGCCGCTGCCACCGCCACCACCGACAACGATGAGGGACAGCCACGCAGCGCCCCAGTGACCTCACGAAGCCCCGGTGGCCCGGCCGCAACAGAGCCCCCTGCAACTGTCTAAGCGACAGTCGCAGCACTACACATGAGCCTCGCACCGAGGCACTTGGTTTCTATCTATCTATCTATTGATTCACTTTTCTTTCTGTCTATGAGGCGCGTGCTCTCACACACATTCACCCATACGCACCGCTGCCCTTTGTTTTGCCGCAATTGCCTTCCCCATCTTTGAGCGCTGGGAGCAGTGTAAGATTTCAGCGAGTTTTCCCCAATAAACCTTCCACACACAAACACTGAACCGAAAGCACTGAAGCCAACCCGCGAAGCTGTCTGTCTCAAGCAGTCCAAACCGCTGAGAGCGTTGATGATGCTAGGACGCGGATGAGTGAGTGCACGAGCATAAATATGTGCGCATTCCCAATGGATGTACAGGGTTGGAGGGTGGAAAAAAAAAGGTGAAGTAAGCTAAGGCTAAGGGCCATTATAGCATTGTGCGATGGGGAATGATACCTTGTGATTGTATTGTAAAACCATGTCTTCATGCTGCATTTGAGCATGCAGGAGCATGTGGCGTCCAACGTTAAGTAATGTAATGTAACATGATGGAACATCATCACCGGAAACGCTTACATTTTGCACGAACGCCGAGCAATTTCTCACGAACAGTGCAAGAACATAATCCCAAATGCAACAGTGGCCATAGGGTCATGTGGTCATGTAAGCTCTGCCAACCTTATGCAAGCAAACAACAAGGCAAAAACAACAAAAAGACTAAAAGGATAAACAAAGGAATGACTGCACAATGGTAGTTGTTCTATGCGCATGCTTCATTTCACCACTGTATGTTCGCATGCCATTCTTGATGTGAACCCCCTTCCCCCCCCCCCCAGCTTCAATGATCCCGATCATGTTGTTTCTTTGACTTTCCCATTTGTCTGCCGTTTGTGGTTTGTTTGTTTTCTCTCTCTCTCTCTGCGTGTGTGTGTGTGTGTGTACATATGTGTGACCAGCTTGCTATTTGTGAGCTGGAATGGACAGGTTTCATAATGGACCAGTTGACCGCTTTGTTTTGTTTGTTGGTCAACCTCTCACGCACAGTGTGTTGTAACAAGTCATGATTCAAGCACGAAAGAGGAAAAACGGAGAGAAATCACTTGGCCAGCACCTGCACCATAACGTACGACAACGTGGGCATTGATCCACATCAGGCAAACACAATATCCAGGAACCAATGCAATGGCATGTCCAAGATGAACCGTGTGTTCATCGGCGCAGGCATCATGGCGTCAAACCATATCCACAGCAGGCACAATCGATGCTCTGTGGCGACGCAAAAACGCCGTCTGCGCGTATACAGGGCCACAAACAAGCATGTTTCCAAACAAGGCACCATGAGTCAGGTGGTAAGTGAAGACGGGCGGCTGGTACCAACACAAACCAAACACATACACACCGCACACACGTGTACACACACACACGTACACACACACATGCATACAAACAAAAACATACATGTATACAATCAAAAACAAACAAACAAAGCAAGCAACCACACACATCCCCCACCTTCAAGCTGAACAGCTCATCTTCAGCGTTGGCAAGCAGCGTTGTCAAGCGTGTTGGCAACGACCGAAACTGGTGACGGTTGGGAAAATGTGGACACCATGTGAGCACAGCACACACCAAACAAGGAGGCACAGTTGTACGTACCACCAAGCAGGAGCAAACACCGGGTACGAAGTACGGAGTGCATGCGAGCTGAGCGGGTTGTAGTCGGTGACCATACCAGCATCACAGACACCAAACAGCATAGCAAAGTCCACACACAAAAGCTGAGACGTACAATTGCGCAGTTGTTGCGAATCAGGGAAAGGAGACCCAGGTCAACGTGTCCCTGCGTTTGCCACCGAGAAAAGTGGCGCAACAGAGGGGCAACACATTAGGGTTCATGACAGCTACATGGTCAGGTTGGAGACGCCGCAACGCATATGCGTGCGTCCGTGCATGCGTGCGTGTGTGTTGTGTGTATGTATGTGTGTGTGTGTGTGTTGTGTGTGTATGTATGTGTGCACCCATGCGTGTGAAGTTGAAAACTCCTCAAACCATGCTACGGGCAAACAATGATCTCACCTGCATGTTTCGCTCCATTTCTTGAAGTTCCTCCTCCTTTGTTGCAATCTGACGCGCCAAGTCCTCAGAGGCTGACAGCAGCTCCGTGTACGCGCGGGACAGCAGCTGAAGGCTCTGAGTAGCGTCGCAAAGTGGAGTTGGGCCATGCTGTTGGATTGCGCCACAGAGCGACGAAGAGACGGAACAAAACCCAGACCCTCTTCTCAGCGCATGTCAATCACCGATCGCATTCGCACGTGTGCAAAAGCAGGCGATCGCCAACCTCAAGTGAGCGTCCAAGTCCGCCTGATGCAGAGTCGGGTTCCTCAAGCGTCAGTGATATACCCTGTCACAGGCGCAGCCAAGAAGAGCCATTGATTCGCAGTCGCACAAGCCCAAATCTGTGCAAGGGAAGAAGAGGCGAGAGTGGGGTGCCAAACACGGAGGGCTGATCATGCATACTCTTGTACACAGGCTGCACAATACCTCGCCCTCAGCCTCGACTTGGTATGGATGGCCGGCAAGGCGCTCAGTCAAAACGCCAACAGCCTCTGGGATGGTTGCCGATGTCTAAGAAGTGTCGTGTCACGTGCACAGAGGTAATGCCCAGGACATCAAGGTGAGGACATTTCAACGTCACGCAGCTCCCGACACACCACGTGCTCGAGTCGCAGCGCCTGATTTGCTACCAACATGGTTTTGGCTTCACAGAGAGATACAGAGATGGCGCACACAGGCAGGCAGGCAGAAAGGCACGCGCGCACAAAAAACACACACACATACACACATACACACACACACACACACACCGCTCGCACACACAAACATACACACACACCTCGCAGTCAAGTGCTGTCATAAACTCTGCCTGGGCGGCGCTGATTGCTGTTTCGTGAGCACGAACACGCTCCACAACGTCGTTGCACTGTTGAAACAAGCCATCGACCTGGCAAACGGTTTGTGCAAGCAGCACCACGGCGAGCGTTTCCTCATGTAAGTCGCGCCAAGCAGATTCGCCAAAGTCCAGACCGAACCCACGATCCCAGCGGGTTACTCAAACACACATACACATCACACAGGCATGACACCAGCTCAAACAGACAAGGCACTCTCCTGCATGTTGATCCAAACTTGTGACAGTGCACGCCACACACACACACGCACACGCACACACACACGCACACACACACACACACACACACACACACACCCTAATGCCTTTCGATATATGGTTACCTTTGGATCCCCAGCCAGATTTAGCTCTGCTGCCTCCATCTTGACTGCCTCGTTGAAAGACACTCGTCTGACCAATGGCGTGAAATATGTGTCCGAAAGCATGGGCGCGGTTAAGTTGCACCGGAACCATAAATGCGGCACACGCACGCACGGCGCAGCCGCGTGCACAGGGTGGTAGGCAGCACAGCAGCCGAAACCAAAGACAAAAGACAAAAATGGGCACGCGTGCAAGGCAGGTTTGTGGCACCACCTCATGTTCTGGTGGGCGAGCGCCTCCTGCGGTCTGGGCTGTTCGGCGTCCATATCATCGTGCTGCTGCTGCTGCTGCTGCGCCGCCATGTCCGTGGCTGCGTCGGAGTCGAAGTCACCCACTTCAAGCTGTATGCACAGTAGAGCATTCAGGCACACGGCATGAGCACGCACACAAGCGAGCAAGCAAGCAGCACAATTACAGCAAACAAGCAAACGAACAAAACACAGCAACAGCATCGTAACAGATGGCAAGAGCAACAAACACTTGAGAACCAAAGGCACATGTGCAGGTGCAGGTGTGACATGGCTCCGGTGTGCGCAAATGCAAACTCGACCTTTATGAACAAGTAACTGCCTGGGATCGCTACACCGAGCCGGTCACACAATTGTACGTGCCTGGACAAGCATTCACAGCAAGTACACATGCGATAGCGGTGTTACAAGCGATGCGCCACATAGACGTACATGGGCAACATGTTCGACAGACAAACAGATGCATACATACATACACACAGACTAGCAGACACACATGGGCACAAAATAGCAGACACACACACACATCCATACATCCATACATACATACATCCATACATACATCCATACATCCATACATACATACATACATACATACATACATACATACATACATACATACATACATACATACATACATACACGCGCGCATGCACACATACACACATGTACACACGCAGCAGGCAGATCACGGACAGGACCCCTTCCCTTTTTCAAACGAACCAGTATCCTGTGCTGAGTGCAGAGAACGGAAGGACCGCCTGCCCAAGGAAGTTTTCGTGGACGATGTCGTCATCAAGGACCTGCAGCACGCGAGCAGAGAAGACGTAAGCACCACGCGAACGAGAAGCAAGGATACAAGGGGTGGCAAACACGAAGACGAAGACGAAGAAGAAGAAGAAGAAGAAGAAGAAGAAGAAGAAGAAGAAGAAGAAGAAGAAGAAGAAGAAGAAGAAGAAGAAGAAGAAGAAGAAGAAGAAGAAGAAGAAGAAGAAGAAGAAGAAGAAGAAGAAGAAGAAGAAGAAGAAGAAGAAGCAGCAGAAGAAGACAAAGGAAGGCAAGAGCAGGCTTGTTAATTGCCGCGTAGGCAGTGGATGCGTGCTTTGTGGCCGTGAGCATTGGTATGTGTGCAGGCGAGGTGACAAGTTTGCATGACGTGTTTTCACCCACCAGCAGCTGCACCATGGCCAGCGGTGGACAGAGAACAACAAAGGAGCAGTGCTCGTTCCAGTAAGCATTGAAGTCGCAGTTGTCCAGCGCGCGCGTGGTGTAGCTCGCCTCGTCTGCAGTGACGCCTGTCGAACAACACCGGGACCGCACAACTTCAATGTCAGCCATTCCCAACGCAAGACAAAAGGGCACACACACGCACACACACACGTGCACACACACACACATGACTTCAGCTTAGCTGCAGAACACCCGCAAAACTACAGCTTGGCATGAGCAGCCTACAGCATGTCCGTGAAGGGCGTGGCGAGAGCATGTAGCGCCAACGTACCGAGCATCTGCACATGCACATAAGGGTCAATGACTTGATGGTCGTCATCCATGGCTTCTTCTTCTTCCGACAAATCTGTTTGCACAAGAGCACAGCGCGGCAGTGAGAGATGTGCGAGCTTGTAGGCAACACACAGCGCAGGTTCATCAGAGGCCGGCAGCGGTGCAAACACAAAGACAATGCACGCGCACCTGCGTGGCGCAGCTGTTGCGCACTGCACACTGTTACGCGAACATGGCGAGGGGCCGAGGGAAATGACCGGGCACCATCTGTTGATTGAGTGAATTGACCCATTCAGAACAAGTAGACAAAGAAGGAAGCTCCGTGAGCGCACGGAGCGAAGGAGACCCAGATCCAGAACAACCAGAAGACGCGGACTGGTGAAGTCGGAGCGGCAGTTGGCAGCCAATACACAAGACAAGTGCACACACACACACATAGGCACACAAAAGAGATCATGCACAGGCATACACATGGAATACACACGCATATCCCACACACACACACACACACACACATGGAATACCACACGCATATCACACACACACACACACACACAGCGTATGGGTGGTTGGATGTGCACCTGCATGGTGGCGCACAACAGGCGAATATGACGATTCCTCGTCAATAAGGAACAGCGGCTTGCGCACATATCCACAGTTGCCGTTCGTGAAAAAGCGCCCAGTGGCCACCTGATACCCGTGGTCGTGTGTCTGAAAGTTGAGGCTGCAGCAGTTGATGCCCACCGTCCAGAACGCCGTCGGAATGAAATTCGTCGACTCAACACGAGGTGGACCAGGATACACGCGCACCAACTGCTGCTGTGTCAACCTTGACAGTGTACACATGCACGCAAACACAGTGCACACATGAACACAATCGGTTGTGAGTGTCAGGGCTTGATGCAGTCAAGCGCACAGATTCACGTTTGCTGACACGGTGCAACCTTTGCTGCGCACGAAGCCCACTTGTGTGCGCAAACACCGCAGCAAACTGTGTGCGCGGTGTGTGTGCGTGTCTACGTGTATGGTTGTGCATGTGGGTGTGCAACACTTTCCGACTCACTGCAAAAGGTCATCAAGATGGCCTTCATCGTGCGCACGAATCACAGAGGATTCGGACAGCGAGAGCAGTGTCCAGGGGTCTGGCATGGCAAGTGCCTCCGCAAAGTCTGTGCCAAGCGGTGCATGGTTCAGTGCGACGATGGTGCTCCACTCTGGTGGCGAACAATCAGGTGTGTTTCAACAAAGAGGAAGAAAAACAAAGGTGGCGGGAAATGAGTGCGATGACAGCAAGCTTGTGTATGCGCGTGTGTGTGCGTGTGTGCGTGCGTGTGTGTGTGTGTGATAGCTTGCGTGCGTGCGCTTGACAATGTGAATGTTGGATGGCGTGTGCACCTGGGGCGAGGAGGACTGGCGACGATGATGATTTCGGCATTGCCCGCTTTGTCTTCTTCTTGTTCTTCTTCTTGATCTCCGCGTAAAACGCGTATTCGTCGTGCAAGACAACCTCCGCGCCCACGCCCTGAGCACGCACGCATACAAGCGCAACAACAGAGGAGGATGGTGTCAGTGTACCGCAGGTGCATGTGCTTGAACGTGTGTGCGTGTGTATGTGTGCATGCCTTGGTGTGTTCACGATGTGATGTGTGTCAAGGCAAAGCGTTATCTGAAATCGCGAATAAAGTGCACGAGCACACACCGGCAACAAACACACACACACACACACATTGACTCATAACAACAACACACAGGCACGCACATATCCCGGGCACACATACACAGACCACACACATACACACACACCCATGCACACACACACACAGAAATGCGCGCATGTGCACAGGAGGGAACACAACGGCACCCACTTCATCAATGGAAAGGAATGGCGCGCGCTGCGAGCATAGGAGAATGCGACGCTTGAGTTGGTTTGGGGAAGGCAGCATCGTCTCGTGTTTGCGAACCAGAGGATCTGTTGGTCGCAGCAGCGCGTCGCCTACAGCATAGAGCACACCATCGTTGTGCACGCAAGCACGTCAGCTCCGGGCATGTTGTCAGGGGCGAGTACAAGTGCGCGCAAGCTCAGCTCACAACACGCACGCACATATGCGCACCCACAGAGCCTACGCAAGCGCACGCACATGCTCACATATGTACACACATGCACGCGCACAGTACACACACACACAACACCAGCATAGGCAAGCAGGGCAGATGTGCTGGCCGACTGCCAGGTGCATGGCCATACCAAGCGTCTGTGCAATGAGCGCAGCCAGAGCGACTTGTGCATCGGCGGTGGAAAGGTGCATTTCAACGAGGACAATCAGAGGGAATTCGCTTGCAGTGAATGCGTGCTCCTGGCAGTGAACATCAACCAATGGAGGTGAGCCGTCGAGTGAACGCGAGCTACAGAGTGCACAGGATTCAAAACACACTCGCACAGACACATGTTGTAAAGGCTCGTGATGGCGTTAACTTTCGTTGTTCACACACACACACACCTTGATGACATCGAAGACGCTCTGCACTGAGCACGGCCGTGTTTTCGTGTGCCCGTGATACACAACCATTGGTTCCTCTGATCCAGCCTCAGCCCCAGGCCAAATGTCAACTGGAACACACGAGCACATAAACACGCGTGTAAGCACACGCACAAGTATGGAAAGGCCCTTTCATATTCATAGAGAGTATGGAACCACCACAGCAACAAACATAACAACAACTACAACAAACATGACAATAACAACAAACATGACAATAACAACGAACATGACAACAACTACAACAACAAACATAACAACAACTACAACAACTACAGCAGCAGCAATAAAAACACTGATTGCACCTTCAATGAGGCGAGCACCCTGCACAAGAGCGTTCTTGACCGCCTCTGGTGTGCAGTGGCTCTGCGCCGCGTGCGAGGATGCATGTGGTTGGTGGGTGGCTGTGAGATGCTTTGACGCACAACATACAAAACGCCACAGCAGATTCACCTCCCACGCACATTGATATTCCCCCCCCACCACAACACACACACACACACACACACACACACACACACACACACACACACACACACACACACACAATACACGTCACAAAACGGAACCTTGAGTTGGTTGCCATCTAGGTATGAGTTGTGCGACGATTTGATGAAGTAGCTTCTGAGTGGCTGGTTCATGTCTTGGTTCTGTCACCGCGTTGTACGCATGAGCGCAGTGCAGCAGACACAGTTCACCCGTTTTGTGAGAGTGAGAGAGTGAGAGAGTGGTGTGGTGTGGTGTGGTGTGTCAAACGCGCATGAATCTGGAAAAAAAACAAAAACAAGGTCATGCCAGCACAAGCGCGCAAGCCGAATCACAGCCACACGATCCAAACGTACTCGCGAGATGGTTGCACGCGCGAGCGTGTATTCGCCTTTCATCAGCGCTGTCAGCCCGTCCAGTCCAAGCGCGTTTGTCTCGCGGTTGTAAGGAACGGGCTCATATTGGTTGATGAGGGCTTTGCACCGGCCAGCAGACACACCGAGCGCCTGTGAGAGAAGAGAGGAGAGGGAGGAGAGGGGTTGTATGATGACAACATGTGAGTGATTATGCCATTGATGCATTTGGGGGTTGAGGTGTTGGTGGTGATGGCACGCCAGCAGAGGGAATGACAGCCATGCTAGCTGGCGACGTGAGGTGAGCCACGAAGCAACACCAAGAAACCAAACGCAAGCGCAAGCCAACAAAAAGGGCTTCAACCAAAACAGCGAACCCCCAATCAACACTGCCCCCCCCCCGGTCCAGTCACCTGCTGCTCTGCCTCGAGAAGAATTTTGAGATCATGGACTGAAAGGCCCTCTGTGTCGCTGCTGTACTGCTGGAACAGCGTGAACAGCTCGCGGCGCGTGGCGAGCGACTGCAGTAGCAGCGGTGGTGGTGATTGTGGTGGTGATGGAAGGAAAGGTGAGGATGAGGTGCATGAAGGGGATCAAGTGACGAGTGGTCTCTGGATCTGCGCCCAACAGGGCAGCTGTAGCAAGAACAAGAACAACAAGAACAACAACAGCAGCAGCAGCAGCAGTGACAAGAACGACAAGAACAACAACAAGTAATCAGGTAAGAGGACACTGCAACTGAAAACAAATGCACCCAGCAACAGCCATTGCACAGCACACGTACTGTGAATTCGGATTGAAAGTCGGACAGGGGGACGAGTGCGTGTACACCACTACCACCATCATCGCCGAACTTCTCTTGGAGATAGTTCAGCTTTCGCTTGAGAAAGAACGATTGCATATCTGGCAGAAGCTCCCTCATGGCTGCTTGCGCTTCTTCCAGCGTCAGCTTGCCTTTCTTTCCCAAATCTGTTGCGTGGCAAGCGCGCGCGCGTGTTTGTTGATTGTGAGGTGAATTGATGAGCTGTGCACAGCGACAAAACAGACGTGCTGAAGCACCCACACGCCCACACGCTCGTACACATCCACAGACACAGACAGACAGACAGACAGACAGACAGACAGACAGACACACACACACACACACCCACACCCGCAGCATGGGCGTGATCGCACCGCCACGCACCATGTTTCGTGAAGACGGCTTCCACCCAATCGCGGCGCCGCTGCCGGACAGTTGCCAGGCGCCCATGTGTCTTTTTCTGCAAACACACACACACAACAGCAAGTGCACATCACACACACACATTGGCACACATAATGGGTGTGAGAACGTAGGGTGCTTGGCAGAAAGACAAAAAGAAGTTGCGAGACACATACATACATACATACATACATACATACATACATACATACATACATACATACATACACACATACACACACATAAACGAGCTCAAACCATCAATAAAACTGAATCGAAATAAAGGGATGCAAGTGCTTGTTTGTCAGCGGACACGAAAATGCACCGACAGATACGGCATGGCAGTGTCTCATGCTTCAGTCTCCGGTCCTTCCTGCTCCTGTATCCCCGCAGCCCCATCCATCACCTCATCACCTCATCACCGTGCCACCATGTGTGCACCGAACGTACGAGTGCATATCGGATGCCGACAATCCACAGATCGCGTGTGTCTTCGTCCGCTGCGACGAGGTCAAGACCACCGTCGCGGTGCGAAACGGTGAAGCAGCACCACTCCTTGAACTCTGAACCCGCAGCCATGGCACATCAGCACATGTGCATGTGTGCATGTGTGCATGTGTGCATGTGTGTGTGTTTGTGTGTGTTTGTGGGCGGGTGGGTGATATCTATGATGTAAGAGAAGAAGAGAGCGTCCATACGCATGTGTGTGTGTGTGTGTGTGTGTGTGTGTGGATGAGCTGCTCATGCGTATGTGTGTGCGTTCACTGATTGCGTGACAATGCCCACCTGATGTGTCCATGGACTTGAACTCCTTGCCAACCTTTCCCGGCCGAATCGATAGCACGGAACGAATGGAAACTAATCATTCACAGGCACGCGCGCATATGCGTGTGTGGTGTGAGCGTGAGCATGTGCATGTGCATGTGCATATGAGTGTGTGTGCATGTGTGGCATGCGTTTTCAACCAGTCACATCGTTGGAAACGAGCTGCAAACAAAATCACAGCAACGACTATGCAAGCAATCGTGTACTTGCACACATCACACACACACACAATTGCTATGCGTAACAACAACTCCATGTAGAGGGGAGCAACAATGAATTGCCACCACCGCCGCACAGCACACGCACTTGACTTGACATTTCCTTTGTTCTTCTTCGAGAACCAGCTGATGGCTTCCAACTTGATTGAGACGCCGCAACGACAAACAATACGAGCACAGTACACCAACACAGACACAAGCAAGGGCGTGAGTGGCCGGCCGGGCATGGTTACACGTGTATGATTTGTGTTTGTGTGTATGTGCGTGTCTTTTGCGTTTGTGTATGTGCGTGTTCAAAGTCTTGTGTAGATGTGTGATTCGATTCAAACAAGATGGCGTGGAGATGGTGCATGCAAATGTGCGTGCATGCAAATGTGTGTGCGTGAAGAAATGGCCACGGACCTCCGGGTCGTAGTAGTAGAAGCGCTCGTACAGTTTCTTGTTGCGTAGCTTGATGAGCAGCGTCCCGTCTGCCAGCTCTGCCAGCGCGTTTGAGCCTGGGCCAAACCACAAGTGGTATTGGTGTGGATGTTGTTGTTGATGATCATACGGATGTATGAACGCGTGAGGGCACTCGTGAGATGAGATGTGACAACACCAACAACAACAACAACAATGATGATGATGATGATGATGATGATGATGATGATGATGATGATGATGATGACGGCAATGTGTGCGTGCGGGCGCTGTAAGGACGAAGTCGAGCACACAATCCAGTTGGCATGTGCTGGCACGCCTTGACCAAAAACGAAAAAAAAAAACGCACCAGACTCGAGGGGCTTCGGGTGTAGGCGGCTGTGTTCACGCACGGTGACGTGGAAGGACACGCGCTTCTTGGCTGGCGGGATGGCCTTTACATCCCCGTCCACGACGACGGCCTGCCCCTGTGCCACAACAATATGAGGCCGAGCAGATCAACGCGGCGGAGGGGAGGATGAGGCGCGGCACATGCACTTGCGTCTCCACAAAGAATATGCACACACAAACGCACGCACCGCCACCCACCCACCCACCCACCCACCCACACACACACACACACACAGAGGCGGGTACGTGTTGGCACGAGCAGCACTGATGTAAAGTGAGCGAGCGTGCGCTGTTATCACGCCATCAGCATGCGCGTACACGCGCATACACGCGCCAGTGAGGTCGGCCAATGTGTGATTCTCTCACATTGCTTCTTGAAGGGTCGCTGTCATCCACTTTTGCTGGGCTTGTGGTGGCCTTGGAGCCGTTGGAAGGAGGGCTGGCCTTCTTTGTCTTGAGGATGGAGGGTACCGGTTGCGGGCTTGACATGACGGTTGCTGCCACACAGGCGCCTGTGTGTATGTGCGTGTGTGTATGTGTGTGTGTGTGTTTGGTTCTAGTTGAACAATCGAGCCAGCTGCAGCATCTGCAGCTGCGCTGTACGAAACAGGAAATAGGGTGGGGGGGGAAGAAAAGACCAGGTCAAAACAATCAGCACTCTTGGCGATCGCGGCCACAACTATGCGAAGGATTGGCGAATGAATCAAGGTATTGAAAGAAGGACAACAGTCACAATACAATACGATACAATACAACACAACACACACACACACATGGCCAATACTAGCACGTACTTGATGCGTGCTGCACGCAACGAAGAAGGTTGGTCACACCACAGCAGCGGATTGATGCACCCTGAGCTTGCTCTGGGCAAAGGCGTGTGAGTGTGAGTGTGAGTGTGAGTGTGAGTGTGAGTGTGAGTGTGAGTGTGAGTGTGAGTGTGAGTGTGAGTGTGAGTGTGAGTGTGAGTGTGAGTGTGAGTGTGAGTGTGAGTGTGGGTTGCAGGAGGATGTGGATGGTTTCATGGAAGGCTGATCTCTGAAACCACAGTCTTTTCTTGTTGGTTGTGTGGCAACGCCACCAGCGGCTCGCAACAGTACCAACAACGATAAAACAACAGAACCAACGACACAGCCACCAACACCGCAACCACTACGACCACCTGTGTCCCACGGAATCGCAGCACTTTTGCAGGCAGGCTGGAATGGATGGTGGTGGTGGTGTTGGGAGGTACCAACAAAACCTTTTTCGTTCGCTGTGAGTCAGTTGTTGCTCCTGCTGCCTTGTTTGTTTGTGTGGCGGAGGAGAAGGGGAGGAGTGGCAGTTATGATTTTTATTTGAAGATATACATAATCATCACCTGGAATTCGTGGTGTCGGGTTGCACGGGCTGGCAGGTTTGTTTGGATTTCCTTGCTTGCTTGCTTGCTTTCTTGCCTGCTTGCTTGACAAGCAAGATGGGAGGACACACATCTCACACACAAGCCCCCCCCCCACACACACACACCCCTAGCCATGCCTCCAACCCTTGCCGGCCAGAGGCCGTGGTTTGGGGTGTGCCGACTGATTTGGACTTCCAACCAAGCAAGCAAGCAGACGAAGCAGAAGCAGACAGCAGAAAACCCCAACGACAACAGCCAGCGGCTACTGTTTGTATTTTGTGGTGTTGTGTGTGAGGTGCGAACTGGGGTGGCGAATGCTGACATGATGACGGCCCAAACAACAAACACAAACGATGCAAGTTGTCGAAGATGAGCCACAAACACCACCACCGCCGCCAACAGGCAGCCAGCCACGACGATGTTGTCACGTCGGAAGAAGTCGTTGCGACGGGTGAAGAAGCGACCCGTCTCGCACCAATGTGGGTGGATTGGCGTAGGAAGAGAGGAGGCAGGACAGGACAGGGAGGGAAAGGGAGTGCATGTGTGTGTGTTGGGAGCACGCAATGTGTCGTGAAGTGTGTGCCTGAAGTCCATGTGTGCACGTGTGATGTGGGTGGTTTTGGTGTGTGAATACATGTGCATGTGTGTGCATGTGTTCGCAGGATATGCGATGGCATATGTGACGCTGTGATGCAGATTGCGTTGCCCCAAATGACCTCTGTTGCATCGTATTTTTTTCCCTGTCTAACTTCCTTCTTTGCTTCCTCATCAACTCCGCGCTTCTCTGCACCTGTTTGCAGTCTTGCTGCGCCAGAGCCAGGTGGAAATCCTGCTAGAGCAGTTTGGTGTGCAAGATGAAGGCCAGCGCAACAGCCACGCTTCTGCCATCAGTGCGTATGCACGCACGCAGCACACTTTGGGACGGGGGAGGAGGGAATGAATGAAGAGAGGGGTTGTTTTGAACAACAACTGGTTTGCCAACTTCAAGGGCTCACAAGAAGCACGTCCGTGCGTGCGCTTCATCTTGTTAATGTCGTTGCAATGGCGTGTCACAAACTGATCCGCTTGTTTGCAACACACACACACACACACGCACACACACAGTTAAGCAGCATGGTGAAGATGGCCGCATCTCCCACAAGAAGCTTGCAGTGGCTCTCCTGCAGATTGGGGGCGCGTCATCGTAAGTATGCACCGCACCAGGCATGCGCAGCCGGTGTTGTTCTGGTCTCATTGTGCGAAGCAGAGGGGTGTCGTATCCCGACAGCTTACACACAACGCTCGCTGTGTTCCTGCATCCACACACACACACACGCACACACACACACACACACGCACACACACACACACACACACACACACACGCACGCACGCACACACACACACACACACACACACACACACACACACACACACACACACACGCACGCACACACACACACACACACACACACACACACTACACACACACACACACACACACACACACACACGCACGCACGCACGCACACACACTCATGCTTCTGTGTGTGGTTTCGTCCTCAGGGCGTGCCAACCGGAGGGGGCAGTCAGCGCTAACGAAGCGCACAGCAGCGACCATCGCGGTGGTCTGAGCCACCAAGCACCGTCACACCACACAATGCACCATGACAACGATGACGATGACGATGACGACGACGCATCCCAAGTCATGCGAAGGGCTGGGTCCGTCAAGAACCCCAACATCAAGATCCAAGAATTGCGGCGGCTCCTGCAGCAGGTGCACGACAGTCCTCCTCCTCCACCACACACACACACACTCTCTCTCTCTCTCTCCCTCATAATCTCTCTCACACACACACCCACTCACTCACTCACTCACATACATACATAATCTCTCGCACACAATCTCTCTCTCCCCAACACACACACACACTCACACACACACACACACACACACACACACACACACACACACACACACCACCACCACCACCACCACCGCAGACGGGAACGGGTGGTGCAGGATTGGTTGATCTCGCATCACACTTGGCACCAGACACATCCCAGCAGCACCCGCACCAGCAGCACCAACAGCGTGTTGGGCAGAGTAGTGGCTGGAACATGGAGGGTGGTGGCGAGGATGAATGGCGAGATTACGATGACGCAGACGCTGCACAGAGTCATGGTGGGTACACACCAGGGCAGATGGCCAACCCGAGCGTGATTGGCGGCAGCAACCTCAACGAATGGGACGAGCTCGCCCAGCCACCCCAGCGCAGCACCAGCACGCTGTCCACGGCGCTTGATGGCATGCAGGTGTTTATGGCCGGCAACAGCTTTGACGACGACGATGTGGACGGGGAGAGTGCAGCCGACACGCCGAGTCGCACGGAATCGCTCATTGCGCGCCTGATGCAACAGGTGGACGAGTTGCGACAGGAGGTTGTTGGCCTGACGCAAACAAACAGGGGGCTGGAGACTACGCTGCAGCTCAAGGTTTGTCCAGCTCACACAATCTATTTGGCGTGTGTGTGTGTGTGTGCGGGTTCGTGTGCAGGTTCGTGTGCAGGTGTGTGGGGTGTGTACATGTGTGCGGGTGCGTGTGCGGGTGCGTGTGCGTGCGTGTGCGTGCGTGTGCGTGCGTGTGCGTGCGTGTGCGTGTGTGTGGAGGTGGTATTTGCTTTTATTTGCTCCTAGTTCTACCTCACAGCCACATTCGCGACGCAATGCGTGTGTGCGCGTTCACACACACACACACACACACACACACACACACACACACACACACACACACACACACACACACACACACACACACACACAAAACGACGTGACGACCACAGGCCGCGGAACACAAGCAAGAGCTGATTGCGCAACAGGAGGAGACACAAACGGAGTTGGATGCAATCGAGAATGAAATGCGGTTTTATGAATCACAGGCAGCTGCAACGAAGCAGCAGCTCACGCGCGTCGAGAAGTACTGGGTGCGTTTTTCAATGTGCGTGGTTGCATGCGTGAATCATTCGTGATGAAACAGGAACACACACACACACACATACACACATACACACATACACACACACACACACGTGTGCGTGCGCTCTGATGAAGGAACCAACACGAATGTTCCTTCCATTCACCTCTACTTCCTCTCCACTTGTGGAATGCGGTGCACAGGGTGATGCGAAGGCGGAGAACGAAGCGCTGCGATCTGAGATTTCATCCATTCAGCACGAGCTTGAGGTGAGATGGCGTGACGTTGAGCGGTGATGGTGGTGATGCAGTTGTGTGTGTGTGTGAATGTGAAAGTGTGTGTGTGTGTGTGCGCGTGCACACTGGTTTGCTCTGTGTTAACCACGACCATCACAAGAACAGCAAACCGAGTTGCTTTTATTGCGTACTTGAGCGCGTGCGTACACGTGTGAATGCAATCTATCTCACCCATACCACATCATCCACAACATCAACCACCACCACCACCACCACCACCACCACCACCACCACCACCACCACCACCACCACCACCACACTATCCATCTCATACATCATCGCCTGCACTCGTGTCAGGTCGTGCGCAAGCACGCCGCCGCAGACTCGCTGCCATCGCGCTATGAGGACCTGCAGGCGGAGCACGAGCAATTGCTGGCGGCATACACCGACCTGTGCACGAAGACGCAGAAGGACAGCCAGACAGAGCAGCAATTGCAGGACGCGGCAGAGAAGCAACAGCACATCTTCGACCAGGAGCTACTGCACGCCCGGGAAGGTCCGGCAGCACGCAGCAACCAAACGCTGCCACCTTCTCTGTGTGTGCGTGTGTGTGTGCGCGCCATGCTGTTGCTGCGTGAGTGGTCTTGGTGATTGCGCCTCGTGAATCACAGTTATTGGCACTGAGTCGTGCGTTGGACGCCGCGCTGTCTTCTTTTGCACCCATCCAGACGCACACACACACATACACACACGCATGAGCAACAAGTTCACCAACCGTCCAACCACCCCACACAACGGCCGTTTATGCAGTGATACGGAAGTTGGAGGCGGAGAACGAGCAGCTGAAAGCGGCAGCGGAGGAGGCTGCGGTGTATCGCGAGTCCTACGAGGAACTCAAATTCAGGGTGGTGAGTCCCTAATTGGCAATATGTGACACCATCATGTGTTGATGTCGTGATGCGACTGCACAGCACAAACCCACGCGACGGTGCCGGCCACGACCTTTTCTGCTTGGCCCAAGTGCTCTTGTGCATGTGTCCGTGTACATACGCGCGCGTGTATATATATTTGTGTGTGTGTGTGTGTTTGTGTGTGTGCGAGAGTGTCCATTTGTCCAGCGTTTGTTGTGATTCCTCCACAACTCACACCTCGCAACTCACACACGACATCACACCACGCACACCATTGCAGCTTGATTCCCAATCGCAGGCGGACGTGTTGAGTGCAACATCACCACTGACCACGGCAAGCAGCCTCCACGATCAGCTCAACCTTGGTATGGACATGCCACAGAAGCGTGCGTGAGTGTGTGTGAGTGTGTGTGGGTGTATGCGTGTGTGAGTGTGTGTGGGTGTATGCGTGTGTGAGTGTGTGTGGGTGTATGCGTGTGTATGGGTGTGTGGGTGTATGCGTGTGTATGGGTGTATGGGTGTGTGTGTGCGTGTGTGTTTGTGTGTGTGTGTGTGTGTGTGTGCAGAGCAGCTGAGTCGTGTATGAACTGTGATGTGCTGAATTTGGCGTTTCATCCCTGCATGTGTATTGCTTGTGTATCGGTGTTCATTTCGGGCCAGCAGAGGCAAGCCACTGTCGTTGTCATTCACGCAAGTTGCACCAATCCTGGTGCTCACATTTCCCACAACCACAAATCATGCACCAACCCAACGCACAACCACACACCGATCCTTTGGCCCTGCACCCCATCACTCGCCGTCATCAGCAACGGACTCGCGACCACTCGCTCGTGGAGATGACACACAATCGCCCACCAGCGACGAAGACTTTCGTCCGATTTCCAGTCTTGCGGAGGAGATTATGCTTGCAGGCACGACAGCACATGCCCCTGCCCAGCACACAGGCGGCGTGGATGAGAACGAAGCAAGGCGGCTCAAGCAGAAGCTGCTGGAATACGAAGAGTCTTTGGAAAAGGAACAGGTGTGATGTCGATTTGGGTTTGCTTGAGACTCGCAAGTTGTACTCATCAAGTACACATGCGCATGCCCCATTCACCACCTGCATGACGGGTATTCATCATCATCATCATCATCATCATCATCATCATCATCATCATCATCATCATCATCATCATCATCATCATCATCATCATCATCATCATCATCATCATCATCATCATCATCATCATCATGCCATTCATTTCCTCATGGCATGTTCCATCTCGTGCTGATGATGGCCACGCTGCCACAGACAAGCGCTTCTTGCTTCCGAGACGAGGTTGAGACACTGCAGGCCAGACTCGCAAAGAAGCAGGTGCGCTGTGATGTCACACAACCACCACCACCACCACCACCACCACCACCACCACCATGACCACCATTTGTTGTTATCACATTCATGTTCTGTGTATGAGTGAGTGAGCCACATGTGCTCCGCACAGCACAGTGCGCACAAGCGCCATTTTCACCGTTTGCTCCCTTCAATCCTTGCTGACCCCCACCCCATCGTCTGGCATCACCTCAGACACAACTGCAAGAGCGAAAGCGCCTTGTGGATGAACAAGCCGCTGTCATTGACAAACTCAAGCAGCCTCTCCTCGACATGACAGCCGCACTGCAGCAAATGCAGGTCTGTGCAGTGTGTATGCATGCTTTGTTTTGTATGTGTGCATGCGTGTCCCTAAGCGTGCTGATTCACGGGCAGTTGCGCCTGCACTGCTGTGGTGCGATTGCGTGTTTACCTGACACCTCACGGCCTGATGCTGCTGCTGCTGCTGTTTCGTGTTGTCACAGTCGAAAAAGCAAGAGATTGGCCAAGAACTGCTGCAGGTGAGCGAATTTGTCCACCTGTTTGGTTGTCGTGCGCGCGTGGGTGCGTGTCTTTGCTGGATTCTTGTGCGATGAGCCCGCGTGCGTAGGATGTAATCATCTCCCACGTTTTACAGAACACATCGCCATGAGCCATCTTCCTCTTACTCTCCCTCACACTGGCGCTGTTGTCCCTTCGCTGCTTGCAACACCAGACGCGCCATCAGCTCCTGGCCGCACAGGCACAGGTTGGTGAGATGGAAACAGCACTCAAGCGCTACAGGGCGGAGGGACCGAGGCCTCGAACGAGCAGCAGCAACGACGGCGACAGGTGTGTACGGCGCTGTGCTTGTGTTACCGATGATTTCGCGTCTATCAGTAGCCCTGCGGACGGGTGCCAGGGCAGGGGCAGCCTGGTTTGTTGCGCCACCACGACGTGTAACTTTACGTGCACACGTGTGCAGTACGTCCTCACTGTTGACCACAACGCGCCACCAACACACACACATGCACGCACATACATGCACACACATATGCACATGCATACACACGTGCACATGTCTGTTGTTTGTAGTCGGCGCAATAGCGCCTCGTCTCAGTCCGGACGCGAGCGCCTGCAGACCAAACACAAAGAGCTCTCACGGCAAATGGACCAAATTGTCGTTGTCATCTCGCATTATGGTGAGTCAGCACAGTGCATTCGCAACCACACTATGATCAGTTGCACAGCACCCACCCTTGAAACACACACACACACAACCAAACATATACTCACATGATCCCTCACACAACCACATGCACCGAGCAGTGCGTCGGCGGTCTGAGTTTGTTGCTGAGATCTCAGACACACATCCACAGCAGCTGCTGAGCAGTGGCGGTGACAGCGCCGGTGTCAACGCAGCGGATCGTCTCGGTGTTGTGCAACGCAAGCTGCGCGATCTGGACAGCATCTACGAAGGTGTGTGTGTATGTGCTTCGTGTGTGCTCCATGTGTGCTCCATGTGTGCTCCATGCGTGCTTCGAGTGTGCTTCGAGTGTGCTTCGAGTGTGCTTCGAGTGTGCGTATAGGTTGCGTGCATTTGCTTGTAGATGCACGTATGCTGTGTGCGCGATTGTCCGTCGCGCAAGTGTGTGGACCACCACGTGCACATACGTCCCTTCTCGTGCCTCACCACAAATTGGCACACCTCTGCTGCTGTGAACAGCGTGCTTGTTGGCGTTGAGGAAAAAGGAAGACACCTTGAAACGGTCGCTGTCAAAGCTGGAGAGAACTCTGAAGAAGAAAGATGACGAGCTGTCGAAAGTGAAGGTGCGTCACGCCACCGCAACAATCTTGCTGTGGTTTTGATCAAGCACTCTGTGCACTGATGTTGCTTGTGTGTGTGTGTGTGTGTGTGCGTTTGCTTTGAGTGCGTGTGTGTGTATGTGCGAGTGCATGTGAGCATTCTCTGCATGTATGTATGCATGTGAGTGTGATGCCCATCGATATTGTCGAACGCAGTGTTCCAGCTAGCGACCAAAGCTGCTGTTAGTGCAGCTATCTCCCTCCCTCCCTTCCTTCACCACCAACCATGGCCGCTCATCCTCTTTGAATCCCCCCTCCCCAATCTCACCCACCTCCTCCCTCCGACCACCTTCGCCAGATGCTGCTGGCGTCTTCCGAGCGCCGAGTTGCGCGCTCAAATGACCTGCTGCAATCCTTCGCCTCCTCCCCTTCGTCCAACAAGTCCACATCAGCGGACATTCTCCGCTCCTCTGCAGACATCATTCACTCGTCTGCACACGGCGTCACGGGTACTACAACAGCCACTACCACAACACCACCGTCTTCGGCGCACAAACCCACGCCCGTACGCGCTGCCAAGGATAACCGGCGCCGCAACTGCTCATATGTTCGCGCTGTCGACACTTCTGGGTGAGTGGGTTGCTTGCTTGGTGTTGCTTGATTGGTAACCTGCTTATTGCGCGTGAGCGTCCCGCTGCTACGTACCCTGTGGCCTTTGAAGTATGCGCGCATATTTATGTGCGCCTTTGTCTGCGTGTGCGCTTGTGTACTTGTGAGTGTGTGTATGTAAGTGCGTGCGTTGGTGTGCGTGCGCGCGCGAGTGTGTGTAAGTGCGTGCGTTGGTGTGTATGTGTGCCTGGCTGCTATTTGTATACGTCTGATGCACTGTTTCCTCATCGCTCACGATATTCGCCTTCACGCCACTCTGCATGCATTCACACATTGTCACTGGCCTGTGATGTTGTCCTCATCACCAACGTTTGGCTGCTTTCCAGCTCACCGCGTTCGCGATCTGGTGACAATGCAAACAACAAGACATCAGCCGCCTCGCCACTGCAGAGATCCACTCAAAGGCACACGCAGCAGCAGCAGCAGCAGCAGCAGCAGCAGCAGCGAGCAGGTGGAGACGGCAGTGGTGCCCGAAAACACGTGCTGTCGTCCAACGGGAGTGCCAGTCGATTGCCAATTGCAGTTGGTCAGGACCAGCAACACCAGCAATCACACATGCACGACCAGCACCAGCGCCCTTTTGCTGCTGCCGCCACCACAAGAATCGGCACCAATAACAACAGCAACAACAACGACACCAACAACAACAACAACCACAACAGCGGAAGCTACAGCAACGCCAACGCCAACAACTCGACCAGCAGCACCCCAGGTACCGCCGCTGCCACAACGGGCACAGCGGAGTCGAAGCGACGCAGCTACGAGCCCGCACAGCCGGCGCAGCGAAACCCACGCAGGTCTGAGCCTCAGTCTGTGGTCGCACAGCGTCTGTTCAGAGCCGTGTTTGAGACGCGGCAGCAGCACCAGCAGTTGCAGTCCCACAGCCGCACGTCAAGCGTCAGCTCCGTGTCGTCGCTGACGATGAAGTGGCAGGACAAATCAATTGGCGGCAAGGACGGCGGTGTGGATCACATGCCTGCGACTGGTGGTGTTGATGATCACGCGGTTGCTACAAGGACATCAGATCATGCCAAGCAGCCAGTCCACACGGCCACCGCGACCACAACACATTCAACTGCTCCATCATCGCGTGGCAACAGCAGCGGTGGTGGCGGAAAGGGTGGTGGCAAAGCCCTGTCCACATCCACAGACGACAGTGGCGGGCTTGGATCCATGCGGCGAAGGCGGCACAAGGGGAGCGTGCGCATGAGTGCTCGGAGGCGCCAGGACCTGCGACGCGTAGCAATGGGGCAGTCAGCCCTGGATGAGGCTCGGAGGCTGGCATCTGTGTCATCCACATCATCATCATCATCATCATCATCATCATCATCATCATCATCGCTGGTGCCACTGCCCACAACAGCAGCAGCTACAGCGACAGCAACAACAGCTCAACGTGGATCTGGCGCATCGCGACAGACAGCTGCACAAGGAAAACTAGGCAGCGCCACTGGTGCGGGCGGCGGAGCAGCCGTGAGGGTGATGGACGCTGCCATGCGAGGTTCACGCGCGCAGAGCACAGCAAGCAGACGCAACACGGCAACAGGCGGCAAACTGAGGTCGGTTCCTGTCCGCAAGTCGAATCCAAAGAACGGGCAGGACCGCGTCAGGCAGCAGCAGCAGCAGCAGCAGCAGCAGCAGCAGCAGCAGCAGCAGCAGCAGCAGCAACGGCAACAGCAGCAACGGCAACAGCAGCATCGCTCGCATGCCCCAAGCGAGCTGCCACCTGTGCCGCGCAATTCGAAAACGCCTCCAACAAAACACCGCACGCAGGCAACAGCTACTGGGCCTTCTCCCACAGCAGCGACAAAAACGGCGGCCAGGCTACGAGTGAACATTGCCGACGCACAGCACCGCACTGTCCTCTGAGCGCTTCCGGTTCTGTGTGTGTGTGTGTGTGTGTGTGTGTGTGTGTGTGTGTGTGTGTGTGTGTGTGTGTGTGTGTGTGTGTGTGTGTGTGTGTGTGTGCTTCCTTACGTTTGCTCACGTTTTGATGACCCTTTTTGTTTCCTGGAGCTTCTTGATTTGACTCAAGCAGTTTGCACAGTTATTTGCAACTGTTCTCACCTTTCGACACGTTCATCCGTTTTGTCCCTTATTGCTTGACATTTCATGCTGCGTTGTGTGTGTGTGTGTGTATTCTCACCAATGACGTGTGATGTGACGCTCATCGCGGCACGTGTACAGCAACAGTCAGCCACTGCTTCGCTTGAACGCGTTTATTTGCACACTTTTTGCTTGTCACTGACCAAGACCAATACACGACAAGCAAACCAGCGCTGCGTGCATGCAAACGAGAACACGATGCAACCACGTTGCTTTCTGGACTGTTGGTGGTGAGCGCGTGCTTTCCGCACGTGCTGGTGCAGAGCTGGATGGCACAGCACGATCCACGCACGCACACACTTACATGCATGCACTCACACACACACCACACCCATGCACCCACCACACATCACACACACCACACACACATGCAAGACGCAACACAATACACAACGTTCATCCCTTGTTGCATCCTAGGAGAAGCGAGAGGAGCGCGCCTGGAGTCTGCGGTCTCGTGTTGGCGTTGTCATTGTCGGCCGCACAACACCCGCACCCGCGGTCGTCGTGGCTGGCGCTGCTGTGGTCGTCTTGCCCAGCTTGGTTGGGGTTGCGCGTGTCATGGCGGACGTGCGCGGAATGCGAGACACGAGCTGCAGCGGCGATCCAAAGCGCGAAAACGCGCCACGTTGTCTGGTTGTTGTGTTGGTTGCGGCGGTGGTTGTCGTTTGCGGTGGTGGTAGTGGTGGTGAGCAGGATGAGACACAAAGGAGGAGACGGCACGAGCGCAGTCGCAGCACCGTCACACACACACACACACACACACACACACACACACACACACGCACACGGAGAAAGGATTGCTTGCACAAGGTCAAGCACAAACGTGAACTTACGGCGATTGGGGGCCAACGTAGAGGCTCTGGTTTGGGTCGCGAGGGGGAATGGACGGAAGATGCAGCACAAGCAGCAGAATGATGCAGAAGAGGAAGAACAGCACCACATACACCCACAGCGGCCACGAGTTGTCTGGCGGCGAGGGGGTAGACGGTGCTGCGCCCGTGCTCTGGTCCATCGTAATCACGCCGTGCTGGTCGCTGGTCGCTGCTGGCGGTGCACGCGTCGGTGGCGCTGTGTTGACACCATGGATGACGGAAGAGCACGAAGCAAGGATGTATCGCGGGTTTGTTGTTCAAAGCAAAGAGGAAACACATGCAAGCATGTGAGTGGGCAGTCAACATCCACGCCAAAGAAGAACACACACACACACACACACACACAACGCGTACACACACCCACACAACGCGTACACACACCCACACAACGCGTACACACACCCACACACACACGTACACCCGCACAACACGCACAACACCGCATCATCAGCACCTTCGGGCTCAGGCTCGTCGAGGACGGCGACGGACACGGCGTGGCGCTGCTGCGTGTACTTGTTGAAGACAACCAGCGTGTGCTCGCGTGCAGAAGCAATCATGCGCTCAACCGTGACAACCGCCTCAGCCTGCGCCTGCATCACAAACGTGATGCGCAGCGAGGCCGAGGTGAAGTACTGCCGGTCGCTGGTCGAGCCCGCGTCCGGCAGCAGCGAGTTGCTGTCAACCTCCACGCCAAGCTGCGACAGGTCAAGCACTTGTCGCACACGCAGCGTGGCAGCGGAGGCAAGCCGGCTGCCGAGCGAAACAACAGAGGACTCCACGTGGAAGGCGGGGGCGGCAGTCACAGCGGTGCGCGCAACCACGGCTGTGGAGGATGATGAAGAAGACGAAGTGGCAAGCGGAGAGACCGTGGCCGTGACGACAAGTGGAGACGCAGAGAGCACATCGTTGGAGGAAACGGTAATCTGGCAGGCGTGCTTGCCGCTCGCAGCGTCAAACGCGGGTGCGACCGAGAGGTGTGGGTGGCCCTCAGCAGCACACGTCACCTTGGCCATGGGCTGGAAGCCTTTGCCCTGGCACGCCGGGATGAGCGAGAAGTTGGCACCGCTGCGGCTGTGATACGACAAGCGCAGCGAAAACGCGTTGCTGGCCTCCAGGTTGGTGATGAACGCGGGCTGGGCAACAAAGCGGGCGGCGGCAATAGGGCGGCTGCGCAGGCTGCCCTTTGCAATGCCCTGCGCCGTCGTGCGCGAGATCTCGGTCTCGCCCTCGCTGTGGATCGTGACGTGGCCTGGCGGCCTGGCGCGTGAAGGTGTGTGGGGGTGTGGGGTGTGGGGAGGGGGGACGAGGAAGGGAAGCAAGATGAGATGCAAGGCTGTGTGTAGGGGAGGGGAGTTGATGGACACACACGGAGAGAAAACAACAACCGATTGGCGCGCACACAAACAAACAAACAAACAAACAAACAAACAAACAAACAAAACAGCGCACTTGACGGTAGCGACGGCTGGGCTGGATGAGGCCCAGGTGGCGTTGCGAGACGCCTCGGATGGAGGGAAGCAGAAGGACGAGCCAACAGGCACAGTTACGTCACCTGCAGACGTGGTGCGGGGTGGTGAGCGAGTGGTATTGGACGACACTCAAAACTATGCATAACAACAATGTACAAACGGCAGATTGGAGAGGCCACCAGAATGCGACGCAACCACGCGCAACCAAAACAAGAAAGAGCAGTGGCATGGCTGACTTGGGTTGAGCTGGGACGTGACCAGGACGCGGAAGTAGTTGCTGACGGGCGAGTTGTGCACAGACACTCGCAAGAGCGCCTCTCCCTTGCCCGTGGCCGTGACAATCAGCTCATTGCTCGAGTGCATGCGCACACGCGCAACGGACTTGTCGACAAACGCCTGCACGTCAATGCCATCCGTGTACACGAGTGGGCGGCCCGTCATGTCTTGCAGCACAACACGGATGATGCAGTGTGAGCCGAGGGTGAGGTGGTGGCAGCTTGGCTCGGGCTCCAGCGACAAGTGGCGCACGCGGTCAACGTGCAGACTGGCGGCGGCACGCTGCAGCACCACCCCGTCAACAACGTGCATGACGGCAACAACAACATCCTCCCGCTCGTCTGCGGTGGTGATAGTGCCGTCGGGGGCAATGGTGGAGCGCACGGGGCCGGAGGGCGCAGGCGACGCAGCAAACAGCTCATACTGCACATCCCGCTTGTGGGAGAAGGACACCGGCAGCTGGAAGCGTGCAGACGTTGGGACCTGCGAAAACGGTGGAGCATGTGTGTGTGTGTGTGTGTGCGTGTGCGTGCGTGCGTGCGTGTGTGTGTGTGTGTGTATGTGTGTGTGTGTGAGTGAGCGGGGGTGTCGTGATGGCCTTCACAGGAGCAGATTCACAGACCATTGAATGAACAAGAAGGCAAGAACACGTGTATGTTCAGACTGACACACACACAGGCAAACGAAGCGGCAACAACACGTGAATGGTGGCGCTTACGATGAAATCTGGGCCGGCAGGGAGACGGAGGCGGGAGAAGACAGTGAGGTCAAACGAAGCGGCGATGGTGGACGAGGGTGCACGGCAGTAAGCCGACGCGCACGGTGCAGACACTGTCACGCGAACAACACCCTCAGCATGGGCAACTGCAGCCGCGTAAAACTCCTCAGTGTCCTCCTAAAAAGATCAAGAACACGAGCAGGCAGTGAGGCGAACACAAAGCAAGCCACACACGGAGTCACAGAGAGTGTATGTGTGCGTGTGTGCGTGTGTTTGTGTGTGCGTGTGTGCGTGGGTGTGTGTGTGTGTCACAAAGCCGCAATTGCCACTCAGTTGACGTACGCCCTCGTGTCGGAAGAGGGAGTGTGTGCTGAGGACAGTGGGGTCATCGGAGGTCCAGGTCATGCTGGCAATGGACTGCCCGCTCAAAATGTCCTCGTCGCCGTGTCGCAGCGTCGCATACGCCTCGACGACACTGCCGACCACCATGTACCGCGACGGAAAGCGAATGTGCAGACCCGTTGCAAGAACAACCTTCACCAGCACCGTGTCCGTGCTCAGGGCAACCGTTGGGTCTTCCCCAAAAACGGTGGCTGTGAGCGACGTCTCACCAACAGTGCGCCCGCACACAAGCCCGTGCGTCGACACGCTGGCGTAGTTGCTGTTGTCGGTGTGGAAGCGCACAGACACATGCCCATATGTCGGCTTGTTCTGCACCTCAACCTGAGCACATAACATCATGTCACATCACAAAGCGGGTGCATGAGCAACAGCGTCGTGACACGTCTGCAACGTGCATTTGTGCGATGACACTGCGTGTGTGGTTTGTGTGGTTTGTTCTGTGTGTGTTGTGTAGTGGACTGAATGTGTGTGTGTTTGTGTTTGTTTTTGTGTGTGTATGAATGTGTGTGTGTTGTGTTGTGTACTGAATGTGTGTGTGTTTGTGTTTGTTTTTGTGTGTGTATGAATGTGTGTGTGTGGTCGACACGCATTGAGAATGCGTGTGTGAAAGTACCTGGAAGCAGGAGCCTGGGAGGAGCAGAAGACGGCGTGGGGACAGGCGGAGCGCATCAAAAACCTGTTTGGCGCACGTCGTTGAACCACTTGTTAGTTGGAGAAGGGATCATTCTGGGGATATGGCGAGGCTGGAGGGGTTCACACACGAACAACAACAACAACAACAACAACAACAACAACAACAACAACAACTTAAACAACTTAAACAACAACAACAACTTAAACAACAACAACAACAACAACAACTTAAACAACAACAACAACTTAAACAACAACAACAACAACAACAACAACAACAACAACAACAACAACTTAAACAACAACAACAACAACAACAACAACAACTTAAACAACAACAACAACAACTTAAACAACAACAACAACTTGTACAACAACAACTTAAACAACAACAACAACTTAAACAACAACAACAACGATGATGACACGGCGCATGCGTATGCTGACCTCAATGGTGTAGTTGCCAGACGAGAGCGTGTACGCTGCGCCGTGCAGTGGTTGGATGGCTGCGGAGAACCGCACCTTTGCCAGGCCCGTCTCAACACCCTCCACCTGGAACAGCCAGCCACCACAGCCGCCGTTGCCGCCACGCCCGGTGTTGCTGGTTGTGTCTGCGGGGCCAATGGGCCGCAGCTGCACGTGCGTATCGTCTTCCTCCTCTGCAAACACAACGAGCGGGTAGGCGCTTGCAGGCATGCTCCGGCCCTGCTTGTCAAACAGGCACAGCTCCGCTGGTGTTCCATTAGGTTGACCGTGTTTGGTTGTGTTGTGTGTTGAATAGCGTGAGTTGGTGTCGTGTGAATGTCACGAGTGTGTGTTTCGTGCGTTTGTTTGTTTGTTTGTTTGTTTGTTTGTGCCGTGTGCGTATGGTGAGTGTGTGACCGTGCAAACTCGTGTGCAATCGTCAGCCCAAACAACACAAGTGACAAAAAACGCTCAGAACCATAGCATACAGCACACACGCATAACACACATCTAAACTCAGCGTTCGCATGAATAGTCTGCAAACAGCATGCACACACCACGCTGCAACCACACACACACACACAAACACATACACACATGTGCAACAGACCTGTGGTGGAGGCGCCGACTTGAAGCTTGTTCTGGATGTTGGCCGTAAAGTGGTGGGCGGGCACAACCTCCACCGCAACCTGCGTGGACACCGTGCGAGGCAGCAGGCACTCATCCTCAACCTTTAGCTTGCCGCTGCCCTTGGCCTTGCCGTCCACAACCAGCGTCGTGTTGGCAACGCGGGCAGCCACAACGCGCGTGGTGTTGTGCACCTTGAACACGCCCGATCCGCCTACAACGGGCACAGACACGCGAGCATCGCGCACATCGGCGAGGACAACGCGTGCAGGGGAGGTGGTGATGGCCGGGCGCGGCTCAAGGAACAGGTGGCTGGATACCCGCTGGTCGCGGTGGCCTTTGGTCGACACTTGCACCTTTGCACGCGCAGAGCTGGGGTGTGCATGTTGAGAGTTGGGGGATGTGTGCGTGGTGAGAAAAGGTGTGTGTATGCAGAGAGAGCGAGAGAGAGCGAGAGTGTGTGTGCGTATGAAGGTTGTGTGTGTGTGTGTGGATAGAAACGTTGAGTGAGGGACGATGGCAGGGCGGAAAACAACGCAGCTCGACTCAACAACCAACGCAGATACATGTACACACTCACTCACACATGCAAGACATCCTTCCAAGAGATGCAACAACAACTGGCACGCCCCTACGTCCCACGACACGTCCCACGACAGCACAGGTCAACGGACCCTGATGGGGTGACTGCGGTGTGTGCCGTTGTTGGAGCGATGGCCATATCCGAGGCCGTGTTAGTCCACGAGTACTCAATTGTGCTGGCGTTGTTGTACGTGCGCGAGTTGAAAAACGGCTGCACATACACGGGGCACTCCTTGCCTGCAAGCACCAAGTACACCGAGTCCTGGTGCGAGCACGCTGGGTTCTCTGCAACGTCCTCCAGGTCAAAGTCGAGACGTGCGACGACGTGTGACGGCCGCTCGCAGCAAAACTGCGCTGTGTCCTCCTCCATCACGCCAAAGTACGGATGTGCCGAGCTGGGCTGGTTGCCAACACGCACCGTCAGCGTCTGACACCCCGTCTTGACGCACGTCACGGTGAAGGCGGTTGTGGCTGCGTCGCCCTGCCCGCTAACACCCACGGCATCCTCGCTGGCGGGGACGAGGTCACGGGTGTGGAGGGAGAGGAGCGGGGGGAAGGGCCGCGGGCCGCCGGTGAAGCGGATGGTGTGCGCAGCGCCAGGCGACACAAGCACGTCCTTGTCATCCGGGTGGATGGCCAGGCGACGGTGGGCGCTGAGGTCCGCGGTGGCAGAGAGCTTGTCCCACGTGACAGTGATGGTGGCCCGCTCGGGCTGGGACGCGCGCAGGACGATGCACGCGCATCGGGCATCCCCGCACCTGAAGAAGAAGATAATGGAACAAAACGAAGAAAAAGAAAAAAGAAAACACACACACATACATATGGCGCAAGCGTCGCGTTGGAGATGCAATGTGAAGTGAACGACAGGTGCAGCGTGAGTGCTGGTGGAGAACGACAAGCGTGAATGGGAGGGACGACAGAGAACCACTTGTAGCGAGAGAGACAACCAACGCACGCACACATGCACACACGCACACGCACACGCACACAACATACAGCATTCTAACGACATGACCACCACGACTTTCGTTGCCAAGACAAACACTAATCGCCCCGCCCCTCCTCCATTCCAACAATCGACTCGCGCGTACTTGGTGTCCCGCTTGACAAAGGCGGCGGAGGAGAGGGACCAGGTGGGGACGAGGTGGCTGCAGCGGTCAAACACGTTTCCTTCGTCGTCAAGAAACTCCACGTGCAAGGTGATGTCGCTGCCAATGGCGGCGTCGCGCGGGCCCGGGACAAAGCGCAGCGCCGACGGGTACACCACGTCCACGCTCGCATACCCGGCAATCTCAGACTGCAGGCGGTCGTAAGCGGCAATGGTGGCGGCGCCAAAGCCAACGGGGACAACGCGGCCCTCAGACACGTGCGCAACGCGGCTCGCATCGGAGCTCCACAGGTACGAGCCAGACCCGCCTGTCGCCTACATATGCCCGCAGGCGTGTGCAGTGTGTGTGTGTGTGTGCGTGTTTGTATGTGGGAGAAAGATAGTTAAAACAGGGAATGACACAGGAAGGGTGAGCATGAAAGGGACAAATCAACGTGACAACACAAACACACACACACATACGCACACACACACACACACAAACACACACACACACACAAGCATAAGCACGCACGCACAAAGCACACATCCACCCACACGAGATGATGCATAACACAAGCGCCCTCGTGTACCTTGAGTTGGATGGAGACAGGGTTGCTTGACTCGTCACTCCACGGGATAACCACGCGATCGGGCGTCACAACAATCGGATCAACAACCCGCACAACGCGCTGTGCAGTGAGGACAGGTGTGCCACTGGCAGCGCCGGCGGTGGTGTCCGGCCCAAAATATGCGGCAGAGAGGTCCGCGGTGCCGACGACAGCAGTGTGGGCGCGGTGCCACGTGTTGTTGGTCGTTGAGTCCTTGAGCGCCACGGCAGGGGCATTGGACGACAGCGAAAACACAAGCTGTACACGTGGTGGTGGTATTGGTGGTGGTGGTATTGGTGGTGGTGGTGGTGGTGGCGGTGGCAGTGAGGGGGGTAAGGATGGTGATATGTGAGCGGAGAACGCAAGAGAAAGAGGGGGAGAGAGAAAGTGTGTGTGTGTGTGTGTGTGTGTGTGTGTGTGTGTGTGACAGACAGACAGACGTGCACAAACAAGCAACACAATAATGAGTCTGTTGAAAAGCAATGGAGAACGAAAGGAGAACGGCAATACCACAAGGCACACCATATCGAGCAAGCACACCTCGTCCGTGTGGATGTGGTTGTTTGAGTCATCGGTGAGGATGAGCGTGGTTGTGTAGTCCGTGTTGACCAGCAGCACGCACGGCGTCTCCAGAAGGTCATCGTTGCACGAGCGGATGGAGATGCGCAGTTTCGTCGGCTCAACAACATGCACAAACGCATTCGCACCCGTCGACGCATCCATCAGCCCGTCTGCACATGCGCGTGCATTGCAAACATATGCATGAGCGTGCGTGTTTGGATGAGTTCGTGCAAAAATGGTGTGAGGAGTGGTGAATGTGATTGCAGAGCAACGCGTGCACACGACGAACCAACAACCAAAAGCAAACCCAACAGGCCAATGATTGCGTGTGCGTGGATGCCTCGTGTGCGCGTACCCTTATCACGGATGTACAGCTTGGCGACGCCGTGCGCCAGGGACTTGACCCGCGACGTGCCGGGAACAACCTCTGCAACCTGTCGTGCGCACCGCAGTGATGTGTATGCGTGTGAGAGAGAGTGTGTGAGGTGTGTGTGAGGTGTGCGTGTGTGTGAGTGAGGTATGTGTGAAGAGTAGCAACGCACATAGGTGCAGTTGCAACACAACAAAACACAGACACGCGTGTGTACGGTTGATCACGCACACACGCACACACACACAGAGCAGCAGCATCATGCGTACCGAGGTGTTTTCGGACTGGAGCGAGTATTTGCCAGACTTGAGGCTGATGTGCTGACCCTGCTGCGTTGTGATGGCAAACGACGACGTCTCGCCAGCCACCGTATACATGTCGGGCGGGTTTATGTTGATGCGCTCCACAATCGCCACAATCGCTTTCGCCTCAACAATATAATCCTGTGTCAGTGAGTAGGTGAGTGAGTGAGTGTGTGTGTGTGATTGTGTGTATGTATGTGAGTGAGTGTGTGAGTGTGTGTGTATGTATGTATGTGAGTGTGTGTGTGTGTATGTGTGCATGTATGTGAGTGAGTGTGGGTGAGTGTGAAGGTGTGAAGGTATTAGGTCAAACGTGCAGCAGCAAGACACACAAAATATAAACAAGACACGTCACCCCTGATCCACTCCCCACCCAAGCCTTATGCCTGCCATGTATGGCCGCGCGAACACACGTTGCTCTGGAAGGAGACGAGGACACAGACGCGACCGGAGTGGGAGGGCTGCACCAGCACTTCATACCCGCGAAGACCCTGCATGGAGCAGCAAACACAGAAAAAAAGGCGTGGTCGCGTGAGCAAGCCAGCCGTGCACGGCAGACACCATCACCACATGCACGAATAGCACGTGTTTACAAGCACCAACAAGCTGTACACAACCACTGCGACCACTGCGACCACCACCACCACAACCACCACAACCATCACTTTGTGGACCAAGACAATGAATGCGACATGAGCGACCTGCGACTCGAGGGCGGTGATCTCTGGCCGGGCGTCGTACTTGACTTCGTTGAAGGTGACAAACCGCAGCCTGGAGGATGCAGACGAGCTCGGCTTGCACGTGGCATCGAGAATCTTCCACGTGAATGGCAGCGACGACAGCGCCGAGAACGTGTTCTCTGCAGTCAACAAGCAGTACAGCGAAGCAAGATACAATGAGCTCAGTTGGGAACCACAAGTGAAATGCACAATGTACACCCGACAACGCCACACACACACACACACACATGCGCACACACCACACACACACACACATACACGCGCGAACCTTCGCTGTCCTGTGCAGAGACGGTGATCTTGAGTGGTGGGTCACCAAGATACATGGTGTGGTCCGTTGTCTCCAGCAGCACATCGTGCAACTGGGCCACGGTCACTTCACAAAACAGCTTCTGATCCGAGGCTACAGCACATGAGCATGAGCATGAGTATGAGCAAGATAGCAAGACAGACACAGCACTGGCGTCAGAAGGTGTTGCCAGTCTTGCAGAGAAGGTAGAGAGGTTGGTGCTGTGTGCTTGAGACTCGACCTCGAACCCATATCACGCGCGCGAGACCTCTTACACGCTCCTCGAATGGTGCACTTACAGACTTCGCGGGCAATGATATCGGCCGACATGCGAGGCCCAGGCCGAGCAATCACCTCCACAGTGGCCCACGTGCTACATTCTACAAGTGTGTGGGAACGTGTATGCGTGAGCATTGTTGGGTGTGAATGTAGGAGAATGCGTTGGGTGTGAATGTAGGAGAATGCGTTGGGTGTGAATGTAGGAGAATGCGTTGGGTGGAAAGAGAGACAGACAGTCGTCGAGACAGATAGTCGTAGTATTCACGTGTGCGTGGCACAGAGAGTGACGACACGACTGGCTGCGTGATGGTAGACAGATCAGAGTGGCTGCTGCACGTCGGCCACTGCGATACAAGAAGCACACGCATATACACATATACACACATACATGCACACACACACATACACACATACACGCACACACGCGCGCGCACGCACTCTGGGATGGCGTGGTCACGGAGATGACGTGAGGCCTGGTGGTGCTCCAGACGAAGCAGCCGCCTGTGGCGGAGATGTTGTGCTGGACGACGGCGGACTTGGTGGGGTAAGGAAGGAGGAGGCGTGGGTCTGACAGGCGGTACTGGTGCAAAGCGGCAACGCTCGTGGTGACCGCAGCCAGCAGTGCCACCAGCACGACGGCTGCCAGTGGCGCGAAACGCATCTGACTGGTATGCGGGTGCACGAGTGAAAGGCAATTGGCGGGCACTTGGAGGGTGGAAGTCGCTTTGGTTGGTTACCCTTGCCTTGTGGTGTGTGTGTGTGTGTGTTGTGGTTGTCAAACAAAACCACGCAGTTGCGACACACTCGCGAGTGAAGCAGGAAGGAAAGAAGGAAAGAAGGGAGGAAGGAAGGAAGGAAGGAAGGGGAGCGATAGGGGAAGGCAGCTGGGCAGGTGGCGGGCGAAGGACGAGCAACGTTCGTTCAGTGTCTCTCGTGTCTCCGCCGTTGCAGTTTGATGATTGATGAACAACATCCACCAATAATCGACAGTGGTGGTTGCCCGTGTGTGTGCATGCGCATGTGTGTCTGAGTGTTGTCGACAACTTGCCCTGCTTGCTTGCTTGCTCGATCGCTCGACCCTTCGCTCCGTTTCACCCACGACACGATACAACACAGCACTTGGCTCTCGCTGTCGCTGGTGGGTTCGTTGTGCTGGGTTTATCCAAACCAACAACAAGGAAACACAACGCAGAAAGAAAAGAAAAATGAAGAGAGAAAAGGCAAAGGAAAGGCAGGACAAGCAAAGAAAGGCACGCGCGTATCAAATCACGCACAGCACACACAAAGACAGTTAGGACCATCACGTAACGTGCATTGAGGTTGCTGATAATGCGTCAAGTCAACAAAAACAAACAAACAAACAAACAAACAAACAAACAAACAAACAAAAAGCAGGCCACAAGACGGGCACAGACATGAGGACGGAAGTTGTTTTTGCGCATCATGATTGTTTGGTGCATGGTTCATGTTTGGATGTTTGTTGCTTGTTGTACACAGGATCACGAGGATGGAAGAGGTGCTGCGTCACCATGGTATCGCCATGGAGTGAATTGCAATTGCAGTCAGCGGTGGGGGGGGGGGGAGGCGGCGGCGGTTAGAGGGCGGCGCGGGCCCGGCGCACGGCGGCCTTTGCGCGCACATATCCGATGATGCCGTGGAAAAAGAGCATCACGCCTGCAATATGATGTGAGTGAGTGGGATGGGGCGGGGACATGAGGATGTGTTACAGCTATGGTTGTGTGCGTGTGTGTGTGTGTGTGGTCTGTGTGTGTGTGTGTGTGTGTGGGTGTGTGTTGTACGTGCGTGTGCGAGGCAATACAACCAAAGCACCTCACAAACACAGGGAACACACACACACACACACCAAACAACACGCACACACACACACACACACCAAACAACACGCACCAAAGAAGAAGAAGAGGCAGCTGATCCACATGTGTGCGCGCGGCGAGTGGCCGTCGTTGTATGCGGGGTCATCGTAGAACACGGCTGTCACGCTGCCGTCGCTGCTGATGGCGGTGGCGTTTGGCGCGGGGCTCGCTGTCGAGGGTGGGCGGTAGATGCCAAACAGGAACATGGAGTCATTGTCGTCGTCCGTGTCACCGCCAACAGACGCAACGTACACGTGGTAGAAGATGACCGAGACCTTGACGAGGGCAAGCCCAAAGCCGGACGTGGCACCGTACCGCCCAGCAATTGTGCTCGACATGAGAAACGCACACAAGAAGCCAATCCCGTTCAACAGGAACGCAACTGCTCGGTGGTGGGTGGTGGGGGTGTGCGAGTGGGCAGGAAGTTTGAAGGGAATTGGTGAGAGAGTGCGCGCAGCAAGGTCAGACAAAGGGTGCACGTGTGATGAAACGAAGCAAGGAAACGTGGATTCAGCCAGCGAGCGAGTAAGACATGGGAAGCAGCAGACACACGTCAGTTTCGCGCCAACAACGCACCAAGGAAGGAGAGGATGAAGGACGCGTCTGTGCCGAGGTAGTGGTCTGCAACCCAAAAAAAAAAAAGTATGCAATGAGGAGGGCGTGAAGGGGGGTGGGAATGAGCAAGGTGGATGTGAGGATGTGAGGATTTGGGGGGGGGAAGGAAGGAAGGGCCAATGTGCACAAAAACACACCACAGACAGACACAGACAGACACGCGCACAGACACACACAAGACGCGCAAACACAGTCACGAACGGGCGCATACCGGCTTCAACCACGGCCTGTGCTGGCGCAGTGGAGGTGCTCCGTTCCTCGTTCTGCCAAGATTTGGAAGGAAGTGGCAAAGCCCGAGCGAGTATGAGGTGGTGTGATGAAGCATACAAATGTTGACAGGCGAAAGCATGTAAGTAGCAGCCGCAGCACAGCACAGCACAACAAATAGCAGCCGCAGCAGAGCTCTCCCCTCCCTAATGCACACATGCATGTGCACATGTGCGAACGTACCGCTTGGCGCTTCATCTCCTGCACTTCTTCGTATGACGGCAACACAAACACGGCGGTAGGCGCCGAGGAGGATGTGTTTGTGGTCTGGCCTGCTGCTGCTTCGTAGGAGGGCAGGGGCTCGTCGTCTGCAACGAGTGGAACTTCCTGTGTGCGCTCGTGTGATGCGTCTGCCTCACTCGAGGGGACCTAACAACAGTTTTGTAAGTGTGTGTGTGTGTGTGTGTGTGTGTGTGTGTGTGATAAATCAGATGATGAAGGCAGAGAAGGAAAGGAGATGCGCCGTAGTATGATTTGATGGTGACAACAACAAACAGCAAACAACGACGACAAGGGACGACAAGGGTCCTTTGTTCACACACGTTCCCCGCCACCAATATTGTGCACACAGAACCGCCCCCCCCCCTCCCACCACCACCACGCTCGCTCGCACTTGTCCGTTCGTACCTGGTGGTAGCGCGGTCCTTGTGGCATGGCCGGTGTTTGTCAAAACAATCAGCTGAGGCTGAGGCTGAAGCAAGCACGGAGACAAGGGAAGCGTGATCGTAATTGTAACAACAACAGCAGGTATGGGGGAAGGAACAAGGGGGTGGAGAACAGAAACAGGTTCGTGTTGTTCTTCATTCAAAGAGAGAGGGAAATCAGAAGCAAGAGCAGAGCGACCGCCACGCAAGACACAAGAAGAAACAAGAGGGAAGGAATTTCGCTGAAAGTCGCGTGATTGGTGCGCGAGATGACGGCATGGTGATGACTCATGACATGTGGTTTCCGTGTGTCGTGTCGCAAGAGAGTTCGAGTTCACCAAAAGATGTAGCTATTTGTCGTTAAAACTTAATTCAGTTTTGCTGGAGGAGACCAGAGAAAAGCAGAGCACGTTGCAGAGCGGAGAAAGGAAAGCATGCAAGGCGGACGCGCGAAACGTGGTGGTCATGGTGGTGGTGCTCACGGCAGTGGTGGTGCTGGTCATGGTGGTGGCAGTGGAAGGATGATGGGCAGGGGAAAGCCACGAAGCACCAAGCAACGCATTCGCGACATTACCCGCCTTCTCTCTCGAGTACGTATCCTTGTTGCTGTTCCGTACTGAGCGCCTGCGTGTGTGCGTGTCTCAGTGTTTTCGAGGCAAGAGGTGGTGCATATGGCGGCACGTGTTGAGAGCTAGCACACACGACAAACGATCGCGCAAATGTGTGCGTGTGTATGTGCGTGTATATGTGTGTATGTGTGTATATGCGTGTGTATTTGCACCGATTTCTCACTTCCTCACACACCTGCATGCACGCACACACACGCACACACACACACACACACGCACACACACACGCACACACACACACGCACGCACACAGCCTGGGCTGCCGGAAACCATTCGAGCTGAGCAAGAGCGTCTGCTGGAAGGACTCAAGGCCCAAAATGAGGAGCACAAGCGTATCGAGCGAGAGCGCCGATTCGCAACTAAATACAAGAAGATCAAGTTCATCGGTCAGTCAGCGCCCTTGTTCTCCACTGGTTTGCTTGATGGCAAGAAAATGCGCACGGCTGCCGGCGCAACAGTGTGCATCTCTCACTCACTCTCCCACTCTCTTACTCTTTGACACACTCACTCACACACTCACTCACTCACTCACTCACACACTCACTCGCACACACTCTCTCACTCACACACTCTCTCACTCACACACTCTCTCACTCTCTCTCTCTCTCTCTCTCTCTCTCTCTCTCTCTCTCTCTCTCTCTCTCTCTCTCTCTCTCTCTCTCTCTCTCTCTCTCTCTCTCTCTCTCTCTCTCTCTCTCTTTCTGTTCAACCCGAAATATAACACACGGCTGCTGCCATGCACGACATGTGGTGGTGCGTGTATGTGCAGAGCGACGAAAGCTGGAGCGTCTGCTGAAACGGCTGCAGAAGCAGGCCACAGAAGGAGCCCTCACAGAGGAGCAGCTCAGCGAAAAACAACTCATCGAAACAAAGCTCAAATATGTCGCGGTCAGTGCATGCAAGCCTGCGTGTATGTGTGTATATGTATGTGTGTGTTGGCTTGTGCATGTGAACGTTCGTGGGCGCACTTGAAGATGCTGAGGTGCATGCGAAAGACCCATGTGCCAGACACCACCATCACCACCACCACCACCACCACCACTGACTTTCCTTGTTCACATCGACGCTGCTGTGATTGCAGTTCTTCCCTGCCGATGAGAAGTACATCTCTGTTATCAAGGAAGCCGCCAGCATGCCTCCCGCGAGCGTCAAGCGCCGAGGTGACACACACTCTCTCCCGCTCACCACACGATGTTGTTCACCGCAACAAACGCGCGCACACACACACACACACAACGCATCCACATACACACTCACACGCGCACCACACATACCGCACAACACACAATGCATCCACATACACACACAACGCATCCACATACACACTCACACGCACACCACACAACACACCTCTTCCTCACACCTGTGTCCAACCCCTCAACCCCACCCCCACCACCACCACCACACCCCCCCCCCACACACACACACACATCACACAAACACGTGTGCGAAGACGAGCTGCTTGCGGCGCTGGGCGGGGAGCCGCTGCCGAGCGACGATCCCGTGGAGCGCATGAAGCAGCGACTCAAGGCAGCGCGCCGGTTGCAGGCATACGAAGCCCGAATGCACCGGAACACGGGTAGTGGTGCTGGCGATGAGGGTGCAGACAACGACGAGCAGCAGCAGCAGCAACAGCAGCAGCAGCAGCAGCAGCAGCGCGCCAAGAACAAGCAAACACAACGCAAGGGCAAACAGGATGGGAATGAAGACGGTAATGATGAAGACGAGAAAGAAGAAGCTGACACAAGCAGCAACGAAGATGAAGAAGACACCAGCAGTGGCAGCGGCGGCAGCAGTGGCAGCAGTGAAGATGATAGCGATGACAGCGATGAGGAAGATGCGGAAGAGCGTGGTAGCGGTGACGCAAGACGGGCACGTGTTGTTCGCGACGAGTCGCTGGCGGCCGGGGAAGACGAGCCAGAGGAGGAGGTGTACCCGACATACGCGCGCGCCAAGGCACGTGGTGGCAACAGAAACTCCACAGCTGCCAAGAAGAAGCAGGGCGGCCACAGGGGTGCTGGTGGTAAGCGGACCGCTGCCGCTGCACACGGTGGTAACGGTGGCGCTGGCAGTGCTGGTGGTGGTGATGGCAATGATGGTGGCGATGGTGGTGATGGTGGTGGCGATGGTGGTGGTCATGGTGGTCGGGCACACGGCAACAAACGCACGGACACGGTGAGTCACGTGGTGTATGGTGGCAGCAGCGATGGTGGCAGTGACGGCGACGACGACGACGACGACGACGAAGACGACGCTTTCTTTGCAGGTGGAGAGCAGGAAGCGAAGAAGTTCAAGCCATATCTGCTCGAGGAGGATGCTGCACGCGTCGAGGCTATTGCACAACAGCAGCAGCACAGGTCTGGCACCAGCACTGGCGGTGATGGTGGTGGCGACGGAGAAGAGCAGAAGAAGAAAAAGCGTAAACGCAAGCGTGCCCGACGCAGGAAGAACGCAGACTAGATCTCCCCGATACGCCTTTGTGTGTGTGTGTGTGTGTGTGTGTGTGTGTGTCTGTCTGTCTGTCTGTCTGTCTGTCTGCGTGTGTGTGTGTGTGCGTCCTTTTTCTGTGTGCATACGCTTGGTATCTGCGTGTGCACATTGACGTTGACGAGAAGAGATGTCTGTAATGTTTGGTGTGAGCGATGGTGGCCTCGTGCGATTCCGCGCCATCATATGGCTGCACGTCGGTGTCATTGATCACGACCATCAGCCACCACACGAACTCCCTCCTCCCCCCCCCCACCATGTGTGTAGTTCTTTCTTCTTTTCTTGTATTGTCTTCGTTGGACAGCTCCTCAGCTTCGTATATTGATTGGTGTGGTGTTTGCAAGCTTGTTTCAGTGCAATACACCCGAGCACCTGTGCAGTTTGCCTACACAATACATACAAAACCTATCCGTAACCCCGTAACTGGGAGTCGTACTTATTGACACACAAGAGAGAGAGAGAGAGCGAGAGGCGCAAGCATCATGAATTCTACCGTAACATAACATAACATCAATAAAGCAGACACGATGCTCCCTTTCCCTCCTCCCCTCCCCCTCATTCATAGCTTATTGAACCCTTGAGCCGTGTTGTGCATGCAGAGCTAACTACCAAAACGGATGCACAGCACCACCACCACTCTTGCCTATCTGAGTATCTGTCTGGCTCCACGCGCACGCTCGCGCGCACGCTCGCGCGCACGCTATTGCCAACATGCAGAATGCAGGCGCAAACCCCACCCTCCTTCACCCTGCTTCTTCCCCTCCCCTCACTGCCTCTCATCCTTTCAATCTTCCTCTACTCCTCTCACACACGCACACACACACACACACACGCGTATTTCTCTCACTTTCGCACATCATTATGGCCACTCTCATGTCAGATATGACAGCACCTTGTCTGCGTCTGGCTCCTGATTGAGATACTTCCACCGCAGGTACTCCACCATAAACGAATACTCGTCCACGTTCAGCGCCCGGTCAAACAGCACCACCGCCGCAATGTCCACCACCGGGTGTTGCTGACTCACGCTATCCTGCCCAATGAACAGCGACCCATCGCCCGTCTTCAACGTGTTCAGTCCGACACCGACAACGTCGTGCCCAAGCGTCTGGAACACCGTCGGCCCAACCACCATCGCCGACTGCACCACCCACTCGCCCATGCCAAACGCCGCTCCCGACACCATGTCGTTGCACCGCGTACGCACGGACGGCACCAGCGCCCCCACCGTCCTCAGCGTGCTAGTCTGCCACCGCCCTGCTCGGGCCACGGCCGCTGCCGCGCCAAGCCCAAACGTCGCCCCGCACTTGCGCTTGCCGTACACAACAGCGCCTTTTGCTGGTGACCAGTATCGCACCACGGCCATCAGCGTGCGCGGTCTGTTATCAAGCGGGAGGCCCCGCAACGGCCCAGCAACCTGCAGCCCGCCAGACCCGGAGAACGACAGGTGTGGGACGCTGGCGTCGTGTTCGAAGCGAACGTCTGGTGTTCGCGCCGTGGCCACGTATCCGCCCGCAGATGCGTCGAGCCAGCCGTACACGGTCTTGTCCGGCGCTGCAATCACGCTGGAGGGGGTGGCCTGCATCACCAGCACGCATCCGCCAACGTTGCGTGGCGACACACTGGCAAGCAGCTGGGCAATCATTGACTGCAGAGAGGTCTTGGGCGCTCTGATTGTGGTTGTGGTCGTCGCCGTCGTCGTGATGGTTGTAGTTGTAGTTGTAGTTGTAGTTGTAGTTGTAGTTGTGGTCGTGGTTGTAGTTGTAGTTGTGGTCATGGTTGTAGTTGTAGTTGTGGTCGTGGTTGTAGTTGTAGTTGTAGTTGTAGTTGTAGTTGTAGTTGTAGTTGTAGTTGTAGTTGTTGTGGTGGAGGATGTGGTGGAGGATGTGGAGGTGCTTGACCATGATGTGGACATGGTGGGTGGTGCATCCCCCGACAACATCAATGTGACTGCAGCCTGGTTTGACCGCCGGCTCGCTTCATCCCGCACCGTGTACGAAAACGTGTCCACGTCGCCATCACTGCCACGCAGGTTGTTGTAAACAAGCTCACCGCTCTCCGTCAACTGCAGGGTGCCCAGGTTTGGGCTGTCCACAATGCTGATGCTGCTCACGTCAAGCGGAGGCTGGCCGTACAGCGCAATGTCGTTGTCAAGAACGCGCAGTAGCGCGCTTGCCCGCCGCTCAACTACAAACGTGTCGTCTGCCACGTACGGCCCAAGTGCAACATCAAACTCAATGTGCAGCGACGGCAGAGGGATGCCGTCCACCGTGCCCAGGTCGGCACCCACAGCATCCGCTGATGATGCTGATGACGATGACAAGCCAGCTGCCCCTGCTCCTCCTGCTGCAGATGACACGTCTGCGGCGCGTGCCGTGCCAACAGCAGTGGCTTCGGCCGAAGGAAAAAAGTATGCAGGGGTCGCTGCAGATGCAGGCGCAACCGCAATGTCAATCGTGTGCGCGCCAACCGGCAGGTAGAAGAGTGGAAGGGAGCTCTGCAAGAAGCTGCTGACGACAGCAGCGCCGCCGTTGAGGGAGATGACCACCACCAGCTCGTCTGGATTTGGGGCGCTGGGACTGTCCTCCGCCACCGTCACCACCCAGTCGAGCTGCACGTAGCCGACAATGTAGCGCTTGCCGTGCTGCGGGATGGGCACAGACAGGCGAACAAGGTCGTCCAGCCCCGACAGGTATTCTTTCACCAGGTACGCGTGCACGTCTTGCAGTTCGGCTTCCGTGAGGGCGCGGTCGTACAGCAGCACATGCGCCACGCCCATGCGCACGTGGCTACTCAGGTCAATGTCCGCGCCAACCACAAAGCGGCTGTCGTCCTCGCTTCCGCGCGTGCGCATCACCATTGCCTTGTTCGTCACCGCCTCGCCGTTGGCATACATCCACACGTGGTTGCTGTCCAGGACAACGGTGTGGATGAGCCAGCCCTCGTCTTGCGCCACGCGGTTGGCATCAATGGTGGCCCGGCCGCAGTAGCCGCGCATGGACAGGCGCCCAGGGGTGTGCGGCGACACGCCCGCGCCAAAAGCGCCGTTGCAGTCCGGCGAGCCATACACCACGCCACCGTAACCCGGAGACTCGTAGCGCACCACCGTCACAAGCGTGCGGTCGCGCGTGTTGAGCGGCAGGCCAACAAACCCATCCCGGTACAAGGCGTCGCCGTCGCCGTCAAACAGCACGTACGGGGAGTCGTTGGGCCCGCCATCGCGCACAAGCACGGGCGTGCCCTGGATGCGGTTCAGGTTGTTGTCACCAACCTGGTCCGTCCACAGGCGCAGCCGGGCCGTGTCTGGCTGTGTGTACACGCCGGCATCAGAGGCGAGGTGCATAACGAGGCCATCTCGCACGGGAATGCCCGTGGAGCCCTCGCAGGGTGCGGGCTCGAAGTGCGCCTGGAAGCTGTGCCCAGCCTCATCCTCGCCCACCACCAGCAGCCAGTCGCGCACCGGGGTGTGGTCCCACGTATCAAACTTGTTCATCGTGTCCTCCACGCAAGACATGTCGGGCGCGCGAACGGGGTGCTGGAAGCCCACAAGCGTGTCCAGGACAAAGGGCGTGACACGTGGCAGGCCGTCCACGTACAGCGCAGCACCCTCGGGGCTGGTGTCAAACATGACATCCACCTTCTTTGGGAAGATGGCCACGCTGGTGGTGCTGGACAGGCCGGCGTTGTCTGTGACAGTGAGCTCGAGCTCCAGGCCCGTGCGCCCCTCGTACGTGTGGCCCGTGTCTGCGACCTGGAAGGAGAACGCGCGGCCCTTGATACCAGACTCGACGGGGTGGAAGTGGTCATCGTGCAAGAACCTGACGTTCCACGAGAAGTTGTCCTCCGTGAGTGCATTGTCGTCGGTGCCCACGCCAACGACCCTGATGATGTCTAGCGCCACAAACGTGGAGCCGTTGACGGGGGAGACGATGCGTGCAGTGGGCGCTTGGCCAACGGCGATGGTGATGGCCTTGGCCAGGGCGGTCGTGCGGTACTCGCTGTCCGTGACGCGCAGCTGCACGTGGAACTCCCCCTCGCGGCGGAACAGGTGGGTGACGTTTGCAGCAAACTCATCGGCCGTGCCGTCGTTGAACGACCACCGGTACGACAGCGTCATGTTTGCCTGCTGGTGCACGGCGTACGCGGTAAAGTCAACTTGCATGGGCGCCATGCCCGTGACAACGCTCGCCTGCGCAGTAACAATCTCGGGCCGCAAGTGGCCCTCGTCGTATGTGAGGCGCTTGATCTGGCCACGACTCGTGGTGAGCCAGAGCATGTCGTCCGGCCCCTGTGTGATGTGGGTGATCTCCCCGACGTCCTTTGCAAACAGCGCCACCTCCTCCACGGCACCCGTGCTTGGGTTGAGCTGCAGTCGCCACATCTCCTCCCTCGCGTAGTCTGCAAAGAAGATGTTGTTGCGGAACTGCTGCGGAAACTCATCACCACGGTAGACGGGCCCAAGCACGACGGCCGCGTTGGTGCCAGCGTGCGGGTACGAGAAGAGCGGGTTTGCGTGCTTGCGACACGTGCACGACATGCTGAAATCGGGGTTGTCGCACGCTCCTTCGCACAGTGGCCAGCCCATGTTCGCCCCATTCTCCACCACATGGATGTCCTCCCATGACAGGGGTTGATTGTTGCCACCAACCTCACCCACGAGCAACCTTGGTGCATATGGCAGCTGTTGGCTGCCAGTGTTATCACTTGCACTTTTGCTGTCGCTACTGTTGTTGTTGTTGTCGCTACTGTTGTTGGTGTTGGTGGTGTTGTTGTTGTTGCTGTTGCTGCTGCTTCCTGCAGTGGTCGCGGCGGCGGCGGCGGCGGTGGTGGTGGCGTTGGCGTTGGGGTTGGTCGGTGATGCGGGAGGTGGAGCGGCTGCCACGGGATCGGGAATGTCCCAGGTGGCACGAAAGCCGTTTCGCAGGCCGTAGGCAAACATGGTGTCCTCCACGCCCCCCTTGCCATCAAAGGTGAGGCCAAAGTTGTTTGGGTGTGGGTTTCCGTCGCGGTCGAACCGAAACACGCAGCCCGTGGTCCTCCAGATGTCCTGTGCCCAATCTGCTTTGGTCTTGTCGCCAGAGGTGAGGTAGAGGTATTGCTGGTCTGGGCCAAAGAGCAGCGCACCACCGTAGTGGAACTTGCCAGGGTACCCCAGCGCGTCGCGCCAGATGACCGTCTCTGAGTGTGGGTCGGCCTTGCTGCTGAGGTGGCCAGGCCCTTCCACGTGGACGAACCGAGACACGCGAAACTGCTCCGGGTCGATGGGGCTGTAGTAGACGTAGACAAACTGCTTGCTAAGGGTGGAGAACGCTGGATCAATCTCAATGTCCAGCGACCCACGCTCGTCCCCAAAGTCCACGTTGTCAAGATTGAGGTATGGTTCAAGCTGTAGCGGTCTGTCGTCTTCGTGGCCGATGTAGACGGTGCCCCGTTTGTCGAGGACCAGGAACCTGCCGCTGTCATCTGGGAAGAACTTGATGCTCATGAACACGGTTGGCGGCGTGATGCTGAAGCGCGTCTCCATGTCGAAGCGCTCATGCAGCAGCAGCTCTCGCTTGGCGTGCGCTCCTGGAATGATGGCAGCTGCCATGCCAAGCATGAGCACGACAAGCGCCAGTACACTTGGCTGAAGCATGCTGCCTGTGCAGCTGGCAAGTGTGCTTTGTGCTGTGGACTGTGGTTGTGGTGGAGTGCCTGTGTTGTTGTTGTTCAAGACGAGAACGATGAGGGCGAAAGGATGTGAGGGATGAGTTGTTCGATGGAAGGAGGTTGCATGATAGGTGAGGGAAGCAATGACGAGAAATACATGTGTGCGTGTGCGGGTGCGTGTGCATGTGGGTGCATGTGCGTGCGTGTGTGCGTGCGTGCGTGTGTGCGTGCGTGTGTGCATGTGAATGCACACGATTCAAACCACATGCATTGAGGGTGGTGGTGTCGTGCGAGCACGCAATCGACACGGCAGCAACAGAGCAACACCAGAACAGCATGGGAACAGGGCAGAATGTGTCACCCCCCTCTGCCCTCTCTTGTGTCCATGGCTGACCTCTTTGCAGCCCTGTTGAAGCTTGTGCGGTGGCTTTGCGAGTTTGATTGTGCACGCACGCATGCGCACACAATGGTTTTGGACGAGGGGCAGACGAAGGGGATCTTCAGGTATAGGAACTTGGCGATGGGTCTGATGCGTGCTTAGCTTGGGGTGTCTGGCTCTGTGAGTCTTCAACAGAAATCAAGGCACACGGGCCACGGCTGACTTGCTTCTGCTCACCACTTGCTCACTAGCTGCTGATGAACGAATGCACAGCACTGGCAACACAGCAACACAAGCCCCCGTGCTGCAGCGTAGCGTGTGTGGTGTAGCGGTGCGTCCTGGTTTTCTGCTCTGTTGTGTGTGAGGCGGCTTGCTTGCGTGCGGGGAGGTGTAACGGTCATTACAAAACTTAAAATATGCGGGCAAGCGGGCTTGTAGTGCAAGGGTGTGCAAGCAAAAAGCCAACCGCACTTTTGAATTTCCCGGCGCGTGCACTGAAGAGAAAGGAAAGAGAGGACAGCCGAAAGAGCAAGCAAACAAGCAAGCAAGGAAGCAAGCGAGCGAGTGAGGAAGCAAGCGAAACGATGCCCGTTCAACCAGTGCAGGTGGCTGTCGCTGCTGCAGGTACGTGTATGTATGTATGTGTGTGTGTATGTGTGTGTGTGTTTGGAGGAAGGAGGAGAGCTTTCAAGTGCACAGGCAAAAGCCAACGCAACGCTCATGCATCTCAAACCGCAACATAACGTGAAGGTGAAAACACACACACACACACACACACACACACACAAAAGCCTTGGCTGGCAAGAGCGCCAAGGATGCCGGCAAGCTACGCGCTGCATATGCTGCTGTCGATCGCCACGTCAAGGTGAGTACATGGGCGTGCGTGTACCTGTGGTTCAAACAACCGCGATTCGCCATCCAGATGCCTGTCACTGGATGGCAGGCGTGAGAATGTTCACCAACACACACGTATGCAAACGCACACCCGCAAACGCACGCACACACACACACACACACTCATACACAAACACACACACGCACACACGCACACACGCACACAAATGCGCCAACGCACAACCACAAACAACCCCCCCCCTTTCACGCACACCCCATCTCATGCGCACCCCACTAGGACAAACAAGTGATTGGCATTGGAAGCGGATCAACCATTGTCTTTGCTGTGGATCGGCTGGCAGAGCGCGTGCGCGAGGAGAACCTGACTGTACAGTGCGTCCCCACATCGTTTCAAGCCATCCAATTGATCCGCCAGCACAACTTGCCCCTCTCCGATCTCTCCGCTACTCCAAAGGTGTGTTCGTGTTCGTGTTCGTGTTTGTGCGATTGTACGTGTGCGATCATGTGCACGTGCATCTCGCTCTCCCTGTAGCTGTATTTGCATCAGTATGTGTTGTGTGTGTGTGTGTTGTGTATGTGTGTATGTGTGTATGTGTGTATGTTGTGTGTGTGTGTTTGTGTGCGTGTGTGACCAAGACTGGTCCAAGTACACGTGTTCGTCGAGGGGCATGGTTGCTGACTGCTGCTCGATGTGGACACGCTGCAGATTGACGTCGCCATCGATGGCGCCGACGAAATGACCCCGGATCTCGCCTGCATCAAGGTCTGATATCGATCACACAACACAGCACTGCACTTCACAGCGCATCACATGTCACAGCACATTGTCGATGATCGCAGGAGAGGCGATACGGTCAAAGCCGTTGGAAAGGATGGGCGAGAGAGAAGTGATAGAGACAAATGATACAGGACTTTGCAACGAGTGACTCCGTGTTATTCTCACCGTACCTCTGACCAAACACACACACACACACACACACGCACGCACACATCTGCTTGCGCGACAGGGTGGCGGCGGCTGTCTGGTGCAGGAGAAGATTGTGGCATACAACAGCGATACATTTGTCCTCATCGCCGACGGTTCCAAGGAATCTGATGCACTCGGTGCGTGTGAGTGTGTGTGAGTGTGTGTGAGTGTGTGTGTGTGTGTGTGTGTGTGTGTGTGTGTGTGTGTGTGTGCTCTCGTTCGCGTCAATGCATCAATGCATCAATGCGTCACCGCTTTACCATGTCAATGCACATGTGTCTGTTGCCCACAATTCACCTCCAGCGTTTGTTGCTTCCTGTCGGTGGGCGGCGTAATGTGTATGTTTTTTTGTGTGTGTGTATGTTGATTGCAGGCACCAAGTGGACACGTGGCGTGCCCATTGAAGTCATTCCCATGGCCTACGTTCCAATCCAGAAGCAGGTGTAAATGCCTGTAAGCTCTGGAGGGCTGCGCATTCATACACAGCACAGAGCGACATGTACATACGTACACGCACACACACACACACACACACACACACATACACATACGCGTACATACGCGTCGCACATAGCCATGCAAATTACGTACAAATGGCAAGCACGTATATTTCATTGCGTGTCCATTCACAAGTGATGCGATGCGCTTGCCACATAACATGCGTGTGTTGACACCTTGGTGCTGCAGCTGGAAGGGATGGGAGCAACCGCCAAACTGCGCATGGCGACAAGCAAGGCCGGGCCCTGCGTCACAGGTGCACATACACACACACACACACACACACACACACACACACACACACACACACACACACACACACACACACACACACACAGGGCTGTACTCATGAACTCGTGCTCTTTTGTGTTTGAGTTGTGTGTGCTGTATGCCTTCCTAGTTTGTGCGAGTGTGCGTGCTCCACACCAAGGTTGTCCCCTGCAGTTTGCACCCACAGAAGGCATTGTGTTTCCCTCAGTCACGTCAACATTTCGTTCTGATCGTGGTCAACACCAGACAACGGCAACTTCATCATTGACGCCCACTTTGGCGCACTGCAAGGGGACTCGCTTGCCCCAGCTGCCCTTGAAAAGGTGAAGGAGGTGAACTCTACGACACCGTATGTGTGCATCAATGTTCGTGTGTGTGCGACTGTGTGCATGCGCACGTTTAGATGCACATTTATGGGGACGTTTATACGTATGGTTGCATGTGCATGTGCGTTTGCGTGCGTGTGTGTGTGTGTGTGTGTGTGTGTGTGTGTGTGTGTGTGTGTGTGTGTGTGTGTGTGTGTGTGTGTGTGTGTGTGTGTGTGTGTGTGTGTGTGTGTGTGTGTGTGTGTGTGTGTGTGTGTGTGTTGGCACGGCCTGTGCTTTGGGCGCTGGCGGCCACTTGTTCCAGCCGCATTGCCTTCACCACGTCTCACACACCTCCCCTTGTCTTGCACTGTTTGGTCATCGCAATCCACGTAACCCACCCTGCTCAAATCAACCAACCATCCTCCCAAACAACCATCCATCCATCCTCCCAACCAACCAACCAATCAACTGATCAATCAACCAACCAATCAACTGATCAATCAATGATACTCACCCCCGCCCTCCGCAGACGCTGTGCATGATCCCCGGCGTTGTTGACTGCGGCCTGTTTGTTGGCATGGCCAAGGAGGCCTTCATTGGGCGCGAAGATGGCACCGTCATGCACTACACGCGCGACTGAGCTGCCTCGTCAACGTTCACAACGCATTTGCTGGTTGTGTGTGAGTTGATATGATCACGCATCAGCCGTGGAAACTGTTGGTGGTGGTGCGCGGGGGATGTGAGTTGGCCAACAACCAGCGTGCACGCAGATCCCGCTCCGCCTCCCCCCTTTTCTTTGTGCTTGCGTCCTGGCATGTGTTTTGTTGCTTCCTTGCTTGCTTGTCTGTTGGCCGGTTACATCCATCCTCTTGGCCTGCCTCTTCCAATGTTGCACTTGTTGCGCGGTTCTTGCTCGATCTGTGACTGCTCTTGGTGTTGCTGTGCTCTTGTGCTCCCTCTCACGCCGCCTCCGTGGCGAAATAAACGCTCACACCTGCTATGACAGTCCAACGTGCCAGCGCTGGCGTTGACAGCGGTCACTCTCAAAATCCGGACATGCAACATTGTGGTTCGCAGTCACTGCGGAACCAGATGCCCACTGCGCCAAACGCGCCAGCTCTTCAGCCTCCTGTTCACACGCTCACACACACAGCACCCAAAGGACCCCCTTCCGACCTTCTTGCCTTGAGTCGCTTCCCATCATCTCACGCTGGAGTATGTTCGCTCATTGACGCTTGTTGTTGGCACGTCATCCTGCCCTCGAGAGCAATAGGCCCACACAGACCCAGAGACCATTGACCCTTGTTCTCCCATGTTCCTTGTTCATTGAGCAACTCGCTAGCTCGCGAAGCAGCCACGACGACACAGCCCGTTGTCCTCATCACTTGTATTCAAGCCACGCAGGTTTCATGCACACAACTTCTGCTGCTCACCCCATGTATGTTATGTGTGTGATTGCTGTGTTGACGGCGCTTGCGCTGCTCTCCAGCGCGACAGCCAACACCGTCAACGATGAGAGCCTTGTTGACAGCCACCGCCATGTCATCGCAAGCGACTATGCGCCACTCACCGCCGCCCATGGGCCCCACGCCACCACCACATGGGAGTGGAAGCATGTCACGGTACATCTTTGCGATGGGCTCCCACACATGCGCAGACAAGTGTTCATACGCGGGCACAGATAAGTGCCTCAAACACCCACCAAGACACACGCACATACACACACAGACACACGCACGCACACGAACAGGCAGGCACACACATACACATACATACACACACATAGACGCACACACACACATAGACACACACATAGACGCAGACGCACATACACACACCATGCACGCACATACTCACAAACGTGCTCTCTTTCATGCCGTGCACAGGCGTTGGCCGATCTTCCGGTTGCCGACCGCTGCAAGACTGAGATTGCGCTCTCCCTGAAAGCAAAGTGTGTCCTCCTTCACGCTGACTACAGCCATCGCTGTTGTGCGAGTGTCATGACGTTCGCAAGTGCGCCCTCCTTTTCTCTTGCGAGCATGCGTACATTCTCATGCTCGTATGCACACATGCTTGCGTCTGCACATGTGCATCTGTCTTGTCTTGTCTTATTCACAGGGAATGCCGGCGGCTGTCTGACGATGAAACAACCAGAGTAAGTTAGCATTCAAAGATAGTGCAGGTGCATGTGTTCGTGTGTATGTGTGCATGCGTATGTTTTCATGTGTGCGTTCCTGTGTGTATGTATGTGCGTGTGATGTAACAGCGCATGTAACAGCGCGTATACAAACACACGTACACGCGCGCGTAGCCTTAAGCTGTCCTCATTCACGTTTCTCACATTACGGCGATGCTCGTCGCCCTCCCCTGTCGACCACCACCACCGCTAGTATGCCATTTTGCTGTATGACTGCCAGCTTCAGGCACTCTCTCGCCCGCGTCTCCACTGCGATGAGGACATGACCAACGCGGAATGCACGCGCGACCTTGACAGCGCAGAGCTGAGCGGCCTGATTACTTTGAAGGTTGGTGTAGCATGCGTTCATGTCGGCGTGTAAGCAAGCATGTGTTTCGTGTACGTGTGTGTACGTGCGTACTTGTGTGTGTGTGTGTGTTGTTTGCTGCGTTTGTCACGCATGCAAGCTCGTTGCGTCACAAGTTCACCAATCATACACTTGCACACACGTTTCCCGCAACTCTGCTCTCTCCTCAGGCTTCGGTGGCAGCGCATTGTCACGAAGCACAACAGGTGTTGTGGCATGTGCTGCACAAACGCACATTGTTCGACCTGTCCGAGAACAGCCACCGCGCCATTCATACTCTTGGAAGTCTGCAAACACGTAAGAGTCATTTGTTCCTCCACATCCTTCTGCTTTATGTGCCTCGCATGCACACGTACATGCCCACACAAATACATTTGCACGCGAGGTTATCATGCAACACTTGACACACACATACACACACATACACATACACACAACCACGCACGTAGTCACACTCACGCATACACATGCTCATGCGCTGACACATTCACGCAACCACGCACCTGCACTTTCCATTTGTGTATACGTGTCATTGCATCAGGTCATGAACAGCTGTCAACGAGCATGGGGGCGCTGCTTGGCGACATTCACACGCGGCAGGAGGACTTACTGGACCAGCAGCACGCAATATCGGACGCACTCGCGCAGTCTGCAGATGAGATGAAGGTTCGCCTGACACAGGCGCTCTCGAATCAAGCGCAGCTGCTTGCACATCAGCAGCACGCGCTGGACAACCAGGACGCATTGCTCAACGCAAGCTACGTGGTGTGTCAACGGCGGGCGTGTGCCCATGCCTGCGTTTGATCAACGTATGGATGAGACGCTGGTCTTGGCCTGTTGCTCCTGTGAATACATGGCGCTTGACTCGCTCATCTTCTACCTCTTCACACACACGCATTCACTCACTCACGCATACACATGCACACACCCTCTCCTTCCCTCACTCATTCGCCCACTTCATGGTGTGCACGGTTGCATGTCCTTCACCAACACCGAGTAGACGCAGGCGGCGCTTGCTGGCGTGAGCCGGGAGATGGAGCGACACCACGGCGTTGTTGTCGCGTTTCTTGGCGATGTGATGCACGTATTGCAGTCCATTCGTGAATTGGAGGTGGGCACACGTGACTTACTGTTGCACAGACGTGCCGTCCATGCATGCGTGTGTGTGTGTGTGTGTGTGTGTGTGTGTGTGTGTGTGTGTGTGTGTGTGTGCTTGCGTGCGTGCCGTTCATATGTGTGTGCGTGTGTGCGTGTGCTCTTATGATTTGACGTGTGTGAACAATACCTACTCGTTAGCTGTTGTTCGCAGCCACCTCACACGGTGTTACATTCACACAAACACATACTCATGCGCATGTGTGCCAGGAATCAACTGGGTTTGCTTTCGACGTGATGGTCAAGATTGTTTTCTACTTGCTTGCATTTGCCTTTGCTGTTGTCATCACCAGCTCAACCAACACACTGTGCGCAAGGTGAGTCGAGTTAGATCATATCAATGTGTATGCATGTGAGTGCATGTGAGCACTTGTATACTTGTATCTGTGTGTGTATGCATGTGAGTGCATGTGAGCACTTGTACATTCGTAGCTCTCTCTCGCTCTCTCTCTCTCTCTGTGGGTCGGCGAATGCGCGCGTGTCTGTCGTGCAATAGCTCAGCAACAATTGTTACATTGCGCTATCCTTCACGTGCGTGCTTTACTGCATGTATGACAGGCCACGTGTGTTCTCGCTGCTGTTGCTGCAGCTGCTGTGTGAGATATTCATCTGGCCTCACTCCTGGTGCTGGCAAACACGAAAGGTCAGTGCATACATACATGTGTTTTGTGTGTGTGTGTGTTATCGCTTTACTTCATCTTGAATGATTTCGTCTCTGGTTGGCAAACACTGATGGTGACTGCGGAGTCATGGCATGGTATGTCCTGATCCTATCCTGATAACACACACACACACATGCACGCTGTGTAGGCAACGTTGTTGGCGTGCATGTGCGCGGGCTTGTGGTCGCTGCTGCCAAAGAGATCATCAAGCGGAGGAGCACAATCGCCATCACTGTCATCACAAGCACCACCAACGTCATATTCGCCCAATTCAGCAGCACCTTCTTCTCTAGCTGCAGCAATGAGCGAGTCCATG